TTCTGTGCAAAATACAGAAACTTGGACCAATATCCATTCCAACGTACGCAGTTTCCTGTTTCCGTTGCCATCAATTATACGTCATCTCAACCGCCACGGGAGGCACCGCAAGCTGGGTTCAAATTACCCTCCATCCCAGGCCGAATAACGCCTCCTATCTTATCCAGAAGGATGACGCTACCAGGGCCACAAGCAAAGCCTCAAGTAAACTCGAATCCAGACTTCAAGCTTCCCGGTCTTCCAGCGTCAAAATCAACCCTGTCAAATATTTCGAACACAACAGCTGCTGCAGAAACATCCTCAAAGACAACCGCATCGTCAGTACCAGCCGATTGCTGGGATGACTTCTTCGAAAGCAGTACGCAAATTTCGCGTGAAATCGCATGCGAAGCAAGGCCCGAAGTAATGGGAAATACCACTACTTTTACTACCAATTCGCTTTCCATGGTTGACGGCTTTCCCCCAATGTCGACCCAAGATCTAAACTTTTCCCTCGACGATCTAGATGACGAGCCTGTTCGTAGTGTCACTAATCAACCAAAACTCCAGACCACTCCTATGGCGTCAAAAATCATGCCGACAGCACTTCCAGAGAGGGCACCTTCTCCACAAGCCCAAAAGACGGCTTATGTTGCATCTGTGGCACTACGAGTGGAGCCATTAGCTGCGTCATTGAAGTGTGGCCCTACCATGAAATCTACACATACACCAGCACGCTCATCTGCAGTCACAAACAGCAACAGACCTTCGATGTCTAATAAGAAAATAGCTGGAAAATGTTTGAATCCAGGACCTTTTGCGACAGGTCTTGACGCTGAACTTGCAAAGCTCAGAGCCTCACAGCTACCGAAGTCAATGTCCGTGGCTAATACAAAGCGGAGAGCCACTACAGCACCATCTAGAACGCATGCGCCGCCAGCGAAAAGGCAATGCGCGGTCAATTCGCATCCTACGTTGGCATCCAAGCCGGCTGTCACAACAGCAACGGACAACTCGTTCGACGACTTTGTCATGTCGACTCAAGAAGCGGCATCATTTTTTGATGATGACGATAATCTTAGCTTTGGGTCACCACCTATCGCAGTATGAATAACGAAACCGGGGCATGTGTGGATGATGCCAACATGAACTACCGTTTTAGGCTTTGGATATGATACCCTTTTCCTATCTCTCAACACCTAGAAGAAACAATAGTATTGTATTACTCTTATTCGCCTTACTCTCTTCTTGCTACTTACACAAGATATGGGTGATGAAATTTGCCGAAGTCTTCGCACCTATACCGAAGGAAGAAAACCTACTACAATATCCCCTCAAACTCCTCCGGCTCCAACCCCCACTTCTTACACAACTCCCTATACCTCTCTGTATACCCCTCTGCCTTATCTCTAAACCCCTGCGCTGTCTTCATCTGATCCCTCCCAACCTGATGCCTATGCGCCGAGTCCGGCCCATCTGCAACCCTCACAAACCGCGCATACGTCCAAATCTCAGGCAAAGGCGTATGCTGCGTGAGCCCCTGCCCACCGTACATCTGCATCGCCTCATCGATAACTTTCAGCAGCGCATTCGGCACCATAATCTTACTCTGCGCAATCGCATACTTGCCCGCCTTGTTACCCTGCAGATCCATGGTATCCGCTGCATTGAGAACGATCAATCGCATCGCATCAATCGTCATGCGCATATCCGCTATCCGCTCGATGTTGCTGTCAAACTCGCCGATGAACTTGCCCCGCGGTTTCTTGCGCGGCTCCATACATCGTACGAGCGCGAGTTCAAAGGCGCGTTCGGCTTGGCCTATGAGTCGCATGCAGTGGTGTATACGACCGGGTCCCAGTCGTCCTTGAGCGATTTCGAAGGCGCGGCCGGGTCCTAAGATGATGTTTTCGAGAGGCACCCGCACGTTGTCGTATACGTATTCGCCGTGGCCCTCGGGCGCCCAGTCGTAACCCATTATGCTGAGATTCCTAACCTGCCGGAGCCCGGGCGAATTGGCGGGCACGACGAGCGTTGTGTGTCTGTTCCAGGGATTGGGGTTAGAAGGGTCGGAACACCCCATTAGGATGAAGAGTTGCATCTCGGGGTTGTATTGGCAGTTGCCGTAGAGCTTGCGGCCGTTGATGATGACTTCTTTGTCTGTAATTTCCATTTTTATGCCGACTTGGGTTGCGTCTGAGGAGGCGACGTTGGGCTCGGTCATGCTGTAGGCGGAGGACATGTCGCCGTTCATGAGGGGGTAGAGCCATTTTTCTTTTTGAGATGGGGTGCAGTATTTTGCGAGGAGTTCGATGTTGCCGGTTTCCGGGGCGTGGCAGTTCATGGTCTACTTAGGAAGTCAGAAGGGTGCTTTGTTACTCGGTGTGTGTGAGTTTGGGAAAGGTGGATTTACCTGTGCTGCCCAGTACACTCTTCCCATTATCTCTGCGCAACATGAATACTCCAGATTCGTCAACCCAGGACTTTCAACGAAGTGGTTTGGTAGAAACAGATTCCATAGTCCTTGCGCCTTTGCCTTCTTCCGCAGCTCGTGGATGATGGCTGGAGTCTCCCATCTCGTCTTGCTTGCGCTAAGTTGAGCTTTGTATATGCGCTCTGCTGGTATACACTCGGTCTCGACCCATTCATATACTTGGTGTATCTTTGAGATTGCAATGGGACGCAACTTTGCTTTGACCCATGGTGGCATGCGCGAGAAGGCTGGGTGACTGTTGATGTCTGTGTCCATGTTTGAGGATGTCGGGGTGCGATCTACAATACGAGCATGTGTCGCGGGAAGAGTGAGAAGACGCGACTTGAACGTGTAGATCGAAAGTCATAATTGCAATTCGCATGACTCGCTGCTGCATGCTGTATGCATACCAAAAGACGCGTTAGCGGCGCGCTCGGGCGAGGCCGAGGCTACTTTGGAGTTTTGGAGTCTGACAGGATTCTTCGGAATTGTTTAGGCGTGAAGGTGGAGAGTGGGGGTGGAGTCCCGCCCCCGCACAATGCAGTGTGGAGAGGCTATGCTACTAGTACCACACTTCCTTACTCATGACACCAACAACATCCGTGATGCTGGATATGTGCATTATATCATGAATAGAGATAGCGCTCTCCAATTAGGATACTCGGCGATCTAGTTATATCACTGTGGAAACGACAGTTCTCCACATATGGAAAGGTCACCGCTGATGCGGCACTGCCTCCCGAATATTGGTCAGCGTGGATACACATACTCTCACAGAGGCTGGGTCTCTGAGGATTCAAGCGATCAATCTTACGTCTTAACAACAACTAAAGAACAATCTTATGGGAAATGGCTAACGAGGGTTTTGCAAAGCCATGGCTAGAGGTTTGTACGAACTTCGTAAAAGATCCTACATTTTATAGTGACCAATATTCAGTTCGAAGAAGAATTTGGAGAGCGTATAATTTTGGAGCCACCTCTTTCAAATATTTTCCAACAATACACACGTATAGGTGAGCTCATGGCAGCCAAATACGCGTTCCCTGCGCCAGATCCTTCTGTCAAAATAGAGGACACGGTGACGGAAAAAGGGCTCAAGCTGCGCATATATACACCTGAATCATACAAAGGCGGCAAGCCGGTATGTATGTATTATCATGGTGGAGGCTGGGCCATGGGCAACATAGACGGTGATGACCCTTTGAGCAGAGCCATTTCGAAGGCTGGCGATGTAGTGATTGTTTCCGTTGAATATGGACTTGCGCCCCAGAATGCGCATCCAGAATTGATAAACGAGTGTTTTGAGGCTCTGCAATGGGCTTTGCGAAATTCACAACGGCTGAACACCGCTGGGGGCAAGTTCCTCACGGCGGGCACTTCAGCTGGTGGACAGCTCGCATTAGGAACTGCACTGAGGGCTATAGATGACGGACTAGCAGAGCAGCTTGTGGGTGTTGTTGCCCTTATGCCGGCAACGGTCCATCCGGATGGGGTACCGGAGGAGTTGAAGGCTAAGTATACGGCTATGGAGGAACATGACCTGCATACTCTTAACACCGCAGGAGCAATGCGGACTTTCTGGGGTAACATAAAAACCCCCATTTCCATCCATGTGAAGTGCTAACATCACCTAGATGCTTTTGGTCCGCCGCCAACCGATCCTTATGGCTCCCCTCTCTTGCATTCTAGGATCAAGGATTTGAAGAAGGTGTACCTTGCCGTTACAGGACACGATACGCTGAGAGACGATGGTTTGCTTATGAGAGAGAAGCTCGATAGAGCAAGGTATTCACATCATAGACTTCTTTGATCATTGTACTAATGATCCTCTAGTGTGCCCAATCGGCTCGACATGTATGAAGGCTACCCGCACTTCTTTATGGCTTGGCCGTCTTCGAAGCTTGATGAGCCGAGGAAGAAATTCTTTGATCAAATGGTGGACGGAGTGAAGTTTGTCCTAGCATAAACACCTGTATCTCAGTTTCATACACGAATACATAACAACGTTTGCATATCATGTACATTATTCCTCGAGTGAAAGATGAAGGACTCATAAGCTGCACTAAGAAAATCCGTCGTCTCACAACTTTCATACTACTCATCAAACAGTAGGCTTTTTAATTGATTTTGGTGCGAGATTCGCTCTTCTAGGAAGACAAAAAAATACTTTATCTAGAAAAAGAGTGCAGTAGATTGATCGCAAAACCGCCAAGTAGTAATTGTATCCGTAAAACTCTCGACCCCGCTTCATACTCCCCGCAAGCGGACACTACCCAATACACCCAACCAATTACCGCTAGCTCATGACTTCGGAACCAATTTTCCGCTTGCTGTATTCAATGATTGCAAGTCAGCAAGTAGCGTTCCGAACCACCAAGATGACTCGTAGTATCATTTGTAGGCTTCACATGCTATGCCTGCCAATTGTGCGGAAATCCGGCAACAGATGGAACTTGTTTAGGTACAAATAGAGTTGGGGAAAAGGCCATAATAGTGCTCAAGAAGACACCTACTGGACCGCTAGAATATCAAAAAATCGACTGTAACCATGAAAGCCGGACAATGGGACCCGTAAGTTCCTACCTCCCTTACCCATACAATCCCAAGCATTCTCAATCCAGTATAAGTAAACAGCAAAAAGTCGTTATCAACGACATACCCAAGCCCACCCCAGAACCCTACCAATTCCTTGTCAAAATCCACTCCGCATCGCTATGCCACTCCGACCTCGGAATGAGCCTTCGCCCAGACTACCCCGTGACCCTTGGCCACGAAGGCGTCGGGCACATTGAATCTCTCGGCTCCTCAGCCTCAGGCCACGGGTTCTCCGTCGGCGACGCCATCGGCTTCAACTACTTCACCGGCTGCTGCTACACGTGCGATGGCTGCCAAGTGCACAATCTGCGGTGCGAGACGGGGAACCAGAAACTGCAAGGATTTGTGGCTGATGGGTTTTTTGCAGAGTATGCAGTTGTGGATTGGATGAATGCAGTGAAGTTACCTGAGAACCTTGAGATGAGGAGGGCGGCGCCGCTATTTTGTGCGGGGATTACAGCGTTTCATAGTGTGGATTCGTGTGAGTTGGAAAAGGGTATGTGGTTGGTGGTTGTGGGATGTGGGGGATTAGGGCAGTACGCTGTGCAGTATGCTAAAGCGGTATGTTTTTTTGCATTAGTTTTCGTGTTGGGTTTCAATCTTTTACTGGGGAAAGAGACAGGTGAATGGAATACTAATTGGATTTGCACAGATGAGTATTAAAACTATCGCCCTCGACATCAACGACTCTCAACTTGCCATGGCGAAGAAACTCGGCGCTGATGCGACTTTCAACTCCAAAACGAATTCAAACTATATAAATGAGATTAAGAAACTCACAAATGGAAAGGGATGTCACGCAGCGGCTGTCTATTCCGGTTCAAGCATGGCGTATGCTGGCGCACCAGATCTCTTACGTACTGGAGGGTTGCTAATGGTTATTGGAATTCCACCAAAAGGATTCGATTTTATCACTGCGTTTGATTTGACGACGGGCCGGTATCGGATCAAGGCCGAGAGCACGAGTATTCCGCAGAGGATGAAGAAGGCGGTGGAGTTTACTGGTAAACATGGTATACAGCCTGAAGTCGAGTATCGTAAATTGGAGGACTTGCCAAAGATGGTGGAGGATATGCAAAATGGTATGGCGGAGAAAAGGCAGGTTGTTGTGTTTTGATTACTGGAGGAACGGAATAGTAACGTCAAGAATCATGTGTAGTACATGGTTTTCGGCAAGATTCCAAATGATGTATTGTCTCTTCAAAGCTTCTTCCCGAACTCGACAATGCCTCCTTCATAACTTGGCCTTATTCATCTTTTCTGCGTCCTTCCTAGCCCACTCCTTGACAAGCTTCCTGACAATTTTGCCCGATGGCAGTTTTGGCACCTCATCTACAAATACAATACCACCCACGAGCTGTTTGTGCTTTGCCACCTTTTCCTTCATATGCTTGTGAATATCCTCCACAGTCGTCTTGCCCTTATACTCTTCTTTCAGCGTAACATAAGCGCGGGGCCACTCTTGACCACCGATCGTGATTCCCACAGCAGCTGCATCAGCAATGGGGTAAAATTGGAGTAGCACTGCCTCGAGCTCTGCAGGCGCAACTTGTAACGCATTCACTTTGATAAGTTCCTGCAGTCATGTTAGTACCTAAGTTAGACGGGCTGTATCCTTCCATCATATCTGGTTACCTTCTTGCGATCCACAATCCAAAACCATCCTTTCTTCGCAACGGCAACATCGCCAGTTTTCAACCAGCCATCTGGCGACAATGCCTCTCTCGTAGCTTCGGGATTACGCCAGTATCTTAGAAAGACCTGCGGTCCACGGATGTAGAAATCACCGGGTTGGCCTTCGGGCACTTCATTGCCGTCATCGTCGAGAAGCTTGGCCTCACAGTTTGGATCTAAATTGCCCACACTTCCGGAACTAGTGAATGTTAACAGTATTCGGGTTATTTATGATTCTTGCCTTACTCGTCTATTGTGCCACCGGCTACTTGCGTTCCTGCACAGGTGAGTTCAGTCATACCCCAGCCCTGTATGATCTCGCAGCCTAGCATCTTAGTTATCTCGTTCTGGAGCTCCTTTGACAACGGTGCTCCACCGGACAAGATGTCCGTGATACTACTCAGATCATAGTTTTTAGTTTCTGGTCTCTTATTCAGCATAATCAAGATGGGGGGTGCGAGCTGGAGGTGCGTGATCTTGTGATCTTGGATGATTCTTAGAAATTCGAGATACTCAAATTTCTGCATGATGTAGCATGGGACCTGGAGTTTCTGTGCCATGATCATAGTATACATCTGACCATAGGCGTGATACAATGGCAAGAAGGAGATCCATTTCTCAGCGGGTCGTGTGTCAGCAGTCCAGGGTTTTTTGGCAGATCGCATGAAGATAGTTTGCTCACTATTGGCGATCAAGTTGAAATGGCTCACTTCGACACCTTTCGACAACCCGGTAGTGCCAGATGAAAAGTTTACCGTTGCGGTGGTAGTAGTTGCTTCGTGTTCTGACAAAGTAGGAAATTCGTAGCCTTTCACTTCGGCCTGTGACGGAAGGAACTCTCTCCAGTCTCTACATGCTTCGACAGGTGCACAAGGCTCGTCGGAAAACAAAAAGACACGGCCTTCTGGCAGACCAGCACTTTTGGCGGCCGCGACTGCCACCTTTATCAAAGTGGGGTGTGCGAGAAGAATTTGGGCTTGGGTGTTGGTAACCTGGTGTACCATCTCTTAGATATGTTAGCCCACCACTGTGAACACGTGATGCGGAGGACTTACCTGAGAGGGTATAGGCTGGGTTGCCACCGCTGAATATACGTTTTGATCCAACGATTCCAAGATATGCGGCTGGGACAAAGAGGTGATTTGGCGTGAATATCATGACAACTTCTCCTGGTTTGCTACCAATTCGATCTAAACCCATTGCCAATCTTTTGGCCCATTGTAGCATGGACCGTGGTGTAAGGAAGTGCTCTGTATTTTTTGAATCAATCCAGAGCGGTGTATCAGAGGGGATCTGCGCTTGAGGAAATAGATAGTGCAACACATTGCATTTCGGGATGGTTAATGCGGGGAAAGGCGACGAATAAGGCATGTTGGCGGACGATGACAGGATGTGAGCTCAACCAGATCGATGTAGACTATGACAGTTATGTAGGAATGGAGAAATCAAGAGATTGACAAGAGAAAATAAGCCCACAATAGGTCAATTCTCGAGTCCCCCAAAACTACATGGTTTGTTGGCTGCAGCAGCCACCTCACATGACTAGTAGCTGCGGGAACCCCGGACCGCACAGACCGCACACCTTGTTACCGAGGGTAAGTACCTGGTTATCGGACTCCACTGACCGAGCTTCTCAGGGTTGGACTATCTTAGGCTAGTACTCACCTTATCAAGTATGGCATGCTGATAACCTATTACTCCGTCACTTTTCTGTAGTTTGTTTCCAATCGGGCAAATCCATCATGTCTGATATCAAGGACTTCAACCGCATGTTCAGCCTTGATGGTAAGGTTGCTTTAGTCACAGGAGGTAAAATTAAACGAGACTACTCAGCATGCAATCTTACTCACATTACCAGGTTCTAGGGGATTAGGTCTGCATACTGCGACTGCATTCCTCCTCGCCGGAGTAAAGAAGGTTTTCATCTCCGCGCGTAAGAACGAAGGGGAGCAAGGCATTGACCAAGCCGTCAAGAAACTCAACAAACTACCTGTTTCTGGAGTCGCAGTCGGCATTGCCGCTAATGTTGCAGATACTAAGGATATAGAAAGATTGGTGAGAAAGGTACAGGAAACGGACGATAAGTTAGATATTCTCGTGTGCAACGCGGGAGCCACTTGGGGTGGCCCTTTCGATCCCACGCCAGATTGGGCGAGTCAGAAGGTTTTGGACCTGAATATCCGGGGTGTCTTCAATCTTTGCAGATTGTATGTACGAAATGAAATACTCACAAGCGCGTCCGCTAAGAGCATCAGGTTCGCACCTCTATTGGAACGCGCTGGCTCTCGCATCTCTCCCTCTCGCATCATTATCGTATCCTCAACGGCTGGAACGACTGTGCCCCATGTAGGTGATCACGGGACTATCATGTATAGTATTTCCAAAGCAGCTGCACATCATTTGTCGCGACAGCTAGCAGTCGAGCTTGGGCCAAGGAACATCACAACAAATACCGTCGCGCCTGGCTTCTTCCCTTCAAAACTCGCTAATGGCTTGATTGACCTACTAGGTGGACAGCAGGAGCTGGAAGAAAGTAATCCTAGGAAGCGATTAGGAGAAGCTTCAGACATTGCTGGAGTGATGGTATTCTTGTGTAGTCCTGCGGCAGCGTATATCAATGGAGAAGATATAGCTGTGGACGGTGGAGTCAGACTAGCAAGTGGAAGGTATTCAAAAATATAAAGATTGACTGCTTTCCAACCGCACAGATATGATTTCGAATTCTTACTTGCTCTTGCCTTCAATCCTCGCCAGCTGCTTTTTCATACTAGTATTCGTCATCATCTCCTTCATATTGTCATCGCAGTACTCGGGTCCATCCCTGAAGTAAAAGTTGTTTCCGTTGACCTCCACCGTCAGCCCCCAGATTTCATTCTTGCTCTTCGTTATCCCCTTCGCGTCTTTCATTTCTGCGCCTTCAACTAGTTGCATAACAGTATCGGAGACGGTCTCGACTGGTGTAAAATACTCGGTCGGGAAGAACTTCCACTCCTCTTCCGTCATCAACGCCGTTTTGATAGTTCCAGGACAGATAGTAGATGTGCGTATGCCTTCATCGTGATACGCTACTGCGATTGCGCGATTGAAAAGTATCAATCCAGCTTTACTTCCACTGTAGATGGGGCAGAACTCGCTTGGATACAAGCCACCACAAGAAGCCGTCATGATCAGAACAGGATCGAATCCATCGCCTCCATTCTTGGCTTTGGTCTTCCGAAAATAGTGCAAAGCGAGATATGATGTATCAATCGCAGCTTTGTAGTTGATGTCGGCGCTAAACTTATTTGGTGGCGGGGGAGGTGGCCCGTTGAGATCATGCTTTGCATAGAAATTGTCTCTTTCCACGATACCAGCATTTGCAAATACGAAGTCGAGGCGTTCGGCCTTGTTCCAGGTTATTTCGAATGCAGAAATAAGAGACTGATAGCCTGTAATGTCGGCTTGATGGAAGAAGGCGTTCTTTAGTTCAGATACTGCTTTTTTGCCTGCTTCAGCGTTTTGGTCGACTATGTGGATGTCCCAGGTTTCGCTCGAGTTTGAAAGGGCCTTCGCAGTAGCGAAACCTATTCCCGACGCACCGCCTGTAATCAGGGCAACTTTTTTAGGCATCTCAGCAAGCGCCTTGAATGTGAATTATCCTCTTTTCAGGCTTCAAAAGATTCCAAACATTAATTAACGTATTTTGAAACGTCAAGGTTTTCCACGAAGTGCGAGACATATCCGGTGTAATACTATATTCCTTCTCCGCATCAAGGAAAGGAAGGGATCTTCCGGAAACAAGGAAACGCTTCTATCACAAATCTCGTAACCTCCGTTCTTTAAGCTTGTAATGATACATGATTTTCAGTTCTCCTCAAGTCGTCATCGCTATCCGTTGCGATGTTTTCGCTGCAAGATGTCGGTGCTACTCAACAACGAGCGTCTCCAGTCCATTCCCTGGCATGACTCTCGAACCTCTCGAACGTGTACGAGTAATTCATCTAACGATTCAAAGACAACTACGTGGCCGTCCAGTGCGGGATGTCCCATGGCATGACAGAGTGGTGTGCGGGGAAAGTGGAGTAGATGACTCGCTACTGCATACCATGACGGCAGCGGAAAACAATGCGCGAACAAGTTCGACATCAGCCGGAGCCCTGACTCTCCACCCACCAAGTCGTTGCCAAGCCATTTTCTCCACTTGCAGCGCTACCCACAGCTGCACAAGAATGTATTCGGGTCGGTCGGGACTGACCATCATGGGGCCCAATGCCACTTGGGTCAAGTTGTGCTACGCTCGCTTGGAACTGCATGTTCTCATTGAGTGGCACCATTCGAAACGAGAAGATCTAATCCCAGCCTTAATAACCCCTCTTGAATTCTTCTGCATTGAGTTTATCTGCTTACCTTTTCGTCATTTGCTTTCATTATAATATTCCAACAGCACTTTGCCCACTATGGCATTACAATACTCACCAAAGAGCCTCCCTAAACAGATATTCATTAACAATGAATATGTCAACTCCAAGTCTGCTAAGAAACTCACACTACATAACCCCAAGAATGGCGAGCTCATCGCCAACAATGTACCCCTAGCGGGTGAAGAAGACGTTGACGCTGCTGTCGATGCCGCCGAGAAGGCATTTCCTGCATGGAAGAAAATGAGCGCCACTCAACGGAGAGGCATACTGAACAAATTCGCCGAGCTGATCGAGAAAAACGCCAATGAAATCGCGCAACTAACGAGAATATCCCTGGGTTCGCCAGCGGCGTTTGGAGCCTTCGAGATAGGGCTATGTGCTGAGGTAGGTCACTTTGCAGCAACAACCTCCGGCTATTCAAACTTAGAAATCTGATTCTTCAACAGACCTTTAGATACAATGCTGGATTCATTGACAAGTTTGGCGGGGAGTCGTGGCCTCAAGAAGACGGTTTCCTCAAGATAGTCCGGTATATCCATTTCCACTTCGTATGTTATTCGGAAACTGACATGACTCTAGCAACGAGCCATTGGGCGTTGTAGCAGGCATAGTACCTTGGAACGGTCCCATTGGCACAATAGGCCTGAAAGCCGCACCGGCCCTCGCAACAGGAAACTGCTTCATCCTCAAGCCCTCTGAAAAAACGCCATTTTCCTCTCTTGCTCTCGGTACACTTATCAAGGAAGCCGGTTTCCCACCTGGAGTCTTCCAAATCCTGTCTGGAGACGGCAGCACCGGCGCCCTCATCGCCAGCCATATGCGCATCCGCAAAGTAAGTTTCACCGGCTCCATCGCCACTGGGAAGAAGATCCAAGAAATGGCCGCAAAATCCAATCTCAAGCGCGTCACCCTCGAGCTAGGCGGCAAGTCTCCAGCCGTCGTCTTTGACGACTGCAATCTGGAAAACGCGGTGAAATGGACGGCCGATGCCATCACGGCGAACACGGGCCAGGTGTGCTTTGCTGCTAGTCGCGTGTACGTGCAAGAAGGCATTTACGATGCGTTTATCGAAAAGTACAAGGCTGCGATGAAAGACAAGGTCAAGGAGATTGGAGATCCAGATAAGACGTCCACGAACATTGGGCCTCTTGTTGACGAAGCTCAATTCAAACGCGTGCAAGGCTTCATTGAGCGCGGTCAGGAAAAGGGCTACGGTACACTTGCTGTTGGCGGCAATCGCGTCGGTAATTCGGGATACTACATCGAGCCTACAGTCTTCACAGATATAGATGAGAAGTCTGAGCTACACTGCGAGGAAATCTTTGGTCCGGTTTCTGTGGTCAAATCATTCAAGACGGAAGAGGAGGTTATGGCGTTGTCGAACAACACCAATTTCGGACTCATGGCTGGCGTATTCACAACGGATATCAATAGGGCGCTGCGTGTAGCGAGTGAGTTTGACAGTGGTATGGTGGGTATCAACTGTGTCAGCTTGATGTTTATGAATACGCCGTTTGGAGGAAGTAAGGAGAGCGGACTGGGTAGGGAGTGTGGCATTCATGCGCTTAGGGCGTTCACGGAGCCGAAGACTATCATGATTAACATGAATTTCTAGATTGGTCGACTTGGGTTCAACAGACATTAAGTCTCTTACACCACGGGTTACGATCCATAGTAATAAGCTTGAGATCTTGGGTATTAACGAATTTCGTATATCGTAACAATCTTTTGTTCGTCCACTTATTTAGTAATGACTGGGCCACGCGCTGCGGCATAATGGAAATGTTCAATTTAGCTAGACTAATGCCTCCAACAGCGCCTTTCTACGGGATCAACTTTGCCTGGCGCATCCTGTCGAACACGGCCCACCACGTTTCTTTCGGTGTTCTCTCCTCCGTAAATCCCGTACTGTAGATCTTTGTCAAATCGAAATGCCTATCAAAGTCGAAGGCAGTCATGAGAAAATGCTCAGAGATTTGCATCCCACGGCCGCTATCAATGTGTCCGCTTTGCAGTCCGTACTTCTGCTCCGTCGCCCGCCAAGCGTCCATGTTTTCGTTGATAAATTTGCGTATGTCAATTGGTTCGGCGAGAGGCTCCGTGGCCTCGAGACCAAAGTACGAACAGAGAATAGGCCATTTGGCCTCCCAGTTGTATGGCGTCTTGGAGTCTCCGAGGTTATAAACAGCACCCTTGGTGGTAGAGGGAGAAAGGGTAAGATGAATTGTTTGACGTGCAATCATATCGCTGCTTGCGTCGTTACTCAGGGCCTTCCAGGTTCCTACCGTGCCAGGAAATGGACATTTTGCTCCCTCGCCGTGAACGACCTTGAATACGCTTAGGTAAAATGCTACCGACGTAGCAATGGAGTAGTAGTTCTTATTTGGCACGAAGCCGACGACGAGATCGGTTCTAGTTTCTAGGAAGCTCCATTTCTTATCTTTGGCGTATTTTGTGATGAATTCTATCTGCGCATGGTAAAATAAGTGTTCGGCATGTGGGCTGGGAATGGGTGGAGCTGATTCGGAAAGGGGAGGCGAGGGAAGAGCAGGAACCGACGAGCCAGGGGGAATCGTCGATTCATACCAAGAGAGATTGGCGCGGAGATGACAACCATCTGCCAAGTCAGTCCATGTCCTACCTTGTAGTCAGAATAATTGTGACTTACAGATTTTAGTCCCAATCTGCAGTACAATGAATTCAAGAGCTGGACATAGCTTGTCAACTGCTTTGACTGCCTTTGAGAACATTTCCAGTGCCTCGTCGAGCTCTTTCTTTACATCCAAACCCGCTTTGTATGCAAAATAGTATACATGGGTTATCTCCGCGATATCGGGAATCTTCTCGACCAAGTCCTTCTCAAGACCCTCTTGGCTATGAGCGAGCAGGTCGACACCAGTGACCATATTGAGACGAGGATCTTCCGACCATAGCGTTTGAGAGAGGGTAATTGGACGGTTCGAGAGAGCGTGAGCGCGCTTCCAGGTGCCCTTTGCGGGATAATCAGCGAGGATCTCATTAATGAAACCCCAGCCTGTTTGGTCGCACGCAAATCAGTTTGCTAAGCCGCCACATACGCTGCCTTTACTGACCTGTTACGCCCGAGGCGCCAAATACGAGCGCAGATTTTGACATTGTTCAATGGATGTGATTCTATTGCGCAAAACAATTGGAGATAGAGAGAGATGAAAGCTTGCTGCAACTTTAGCTCTATACGATAGCTGTTCCAGACATATTCTACCTGGTATGTCGGATGTTTGCTGAGATGCTGTCAACGTAATTTTTTTTGGTCACGCCAGGCCGCGTTGTCAGCAAGAGAGGTTAGCTAAAGCAGCTAAATTGACTAGCAGGGCATCAATCAGTTAGGGCAACCAGACGAGTCAAGCAGTCAGCATTCGCACCAACAAGTAGTGAAGGCAAAATGCAACTTAACGTGCACCATTCACCATTCCCTATGAGTTGTCAGCATGATGTTGCGGGGGACTCAATTCGCAGTATGCCCTTTAATAGTATCCCATGCTAATGCTATCCAAGAACTAAGGAGGATAGATGGCTGAGCCAACGATAATACTAGTGCAACATCAAGCCCGGGCGAGTTACCAGCAGTCTTTCGCTTAAATTGCTCGAGTAAACGAGCCGAACAAAGGCCGTTTTGCATGTCCTGCCATGTTTACCTAAAGATTTCTCCAGCTACAAAGACGTTTCATGATATGCGGGGAGCTGCGATAATAGCATAATAAGACTAAGTGTTCAGTATCTTGAACCCTTACACCAGTGGCGGCTAGAAGAATTCTTCGCTAATAATTGAGAAAGGCATTTCGCGTACGAGTAATGACAATTCGCTATGTTAAATGAGAACCGTAACGTTACGAAGACATATTGCGCAACCTTCGAATGCTTCCGAAGCCACAAAAATTTCAACTGGTTCTTTTGAGCACAAAATCAGAAATACAGCTTCAAGTGGTCTTACAGCAGGTTATGCATGATCATACAAAGTGTGACCTCACGTTACCGGACTCTTTACATAACTTGTTTCTCGAGCGAACATCCATCTTCTCCATCGTTTGGAACATCAAATCCTCTTTTCTGAGAAGAAATGGCAAGAAACGAACACCTTACAGTACAGGGTACCAAAGACCGCACTTTCAGGTGAATGCGCCTAGATTTGTTGATACGCCAATGGCCCAACACTGTGTGCTCTGTACTATCCTGCTGACTTTTTGTTGGCTGCGATGCCAAAGCAGATAACTGGTAGGAGCTCCTATTCATTCTTGCAATGTTATGTGGTCACATTAGCCTCAAAAGAAATGGTCGCACCAGTTGCTGCTGTGTCGGGGTTGGTGATGGTAGTGGTGTCGTTGGCTCGTATCCACGTGGTGGGTCAAACCATTACCCGAAGACACCATGTTCTCTCGCCACTGCAAGGCACATGCACCTAATGAGCAAAGCTCGAGCCTCGTGTTGAAGGATATCTTCCAAATGCCGACCCTCCTGATGGTACCGATCCAGCAATCAAAACGGCGTGGTTAGTATCGGAGCTATCCCGCATAACGTCTTCCGTAACCCCTCAGCAGGCGCACACCCAAAACATTGGATCACTATGCAGCCACAAGCCTCAGATAAGCGATACATATGGAGGGGAAGTGGACTAGCCAAAGATATCGCTCCTGGATACACCTTCGTGTCCGAAAGCAGAAGCAACGAAGTTGGGCCTAAACTGATCCGTGTTTCGTGTAATGTCGGAAGTCACCCGAGACACGGCTAAACACTTCACAATCATTAATCATTATATCGAAACAGTGTTATGCTTTTTCTATCAAATCTTGTTGATATTCTATTGTCTTAAGACGCTGCCTTTCACCCGTAAGGTTACAATCTCATTTCTCTTTGCTGTATACTGTTTTCTCCGCCGGTTATACCAAAACATCAAGATAAACTACACCCGCTATTTCGATGCCAGCATCAAATCACTGAGCCCGCGTTTGACAATCTCCACAATGGGCGATGCAAGAATGCCAAATGGGGCCCACGTTATTGGTCGTAGCCATGATTTTGATTACCCGCCATCACATTCTGACGGCCCTTACAAAATTCTGAACCAATACCATTCAAAACCTGCCAAGTTACGGGTAGCATGCATCGGTGCCGGCGCGTCAGGTCTATGTTTAGCATACAAGATGGAGAAGATGCTAGAGCCTGGGTCTTGGGAACTGACACTTTTTGACAAGAACCCGCACTTTGGCGGAACCTGGTATGAGAACACTTATCCAGGCGTTGCTTGCGACATACCCTCGCACGATTATAATTTCACGTTCGACCCGAAACCTGACTGGTCAACGTTTTTCGCATCGGGAAAGGAAATCCAAGGCTACTTTGAGGACTTTGCAGAAAGGCACGGAAGCAAAAAGTACATGCAGCTCAACAGCAAGGTCGAGGAAGCATCTTGGAATGACGGAGATGGATGCTACAACCTGACGATCAGAAACCCAGCAACTGGCTCGATGAGAAAAGACTGGGCGCATGTTTTGGTCAACGGATCGGGTAAGTCAGTACTGGATTAGTATTTGAGTAAAGCTAACGTAAAAGGTATCCTGAACAACTGGAAATGGCCAGAAATCCAAGGACTGCATGATTTCAAAGGCCCAATACTCCATTCGGCGTGTTGGGATCACAGCGTCGACTTCAACAACATCACCGCCGGTGTCATCGGTATTGGCTCGACCAGCGTCCAAATTGTACCCTCACTACAGAAGATTGTAAAACAGGTTAGTCATGACCATGACCAATATGAATGCAACAAACAAAAGTCTGGTGATTGACCTCCACAGCTCGAAGTGTACATGCGAAGTCCAACATGGATATCCCCGCCCTTTGGAGCGGGTGCCCTCACCGACAACCTTCAAAAGGGCCAAGATATCGACCCAGGGCAGCGGCAGTACACCTTCACTGAAGCTGATATCAAGAAGTTCAAAGAAGACCCCGAGTATCACCTGGAGTTCAGGAAGAAAATAGAAGCAGAAATCAACAGCTTGTTTGGTATGTACCAGCAAAACTCGGAGCTGCAGAACCAGTTCAAGGACGTCATCACCAAGGAAATGCATCGACGAATGGGTCCCGGCCACGACAGATTGAAAGAATTCATCATTCCCAAATGGTCTGTGGGTTGCAGGCGGATCTCGCCCGGAGATGGCTTCTTGGAAGCGCTCACACAAGACAATGTTACACCAGTTTTTGATGGGATCGAGTGCGTAGTTCCAGAAGGCATCAAGACAGTCGATGGCAAGATTCACAATCTAGACGCAATCGTATGCGCTACAGGATTTCAGGTCGCTTTCCAACCAGCCTTTACAGTGCGCAATGGCTCAGGAGTTTCTATCAAGGAAGACTGGACGAACGGCCCTAACCTTTACATGGGTGTTTCAGCACCACGATTTCCCAACTACTACACAATAGTAGGCCCTGGCGCAACATGGAGTAATGGGACACTTCTACCGAGCATTGAGACGACAATCGAGTATAGTATCAAGTGCATGAAGAAAATGCAGTGCGAGGGCATCAAAGCAATGAGTGTGAAACAAGAAGCGCTAGATGAGATCTACGCGCACTTTGACGAGTTCCACAAGACTACAGTGTGGCAAGAAGAATGTCGTAGCTGGTTCAAAAATGGGTCGACAAAAGGCAGAATCTACCTGTGGCCGGGTGCTGTAAGTTACTCCCGTTTGACCCATGATCGTCCGTCCCATCACCTTGCTAGCGTTACCTTCCTTCTCTTGTATTACCCCGCATCATTCCTTCAGCCACTAACGCATAGGACGCAGACAATTCACTTTCTCAAAACAATCAAGAATCCGCGCTGGGAAGATTACGACTACGTATACAGGTACAAGAATCGATTTGCGTTTTTGGGCAACGGAGATGTCAAGGCGACAGCAACACGAGACTTGCTTGGGCTCAGCCCCTACATTAGGAACTGGGACCATGAATGGGATGTGGACTGAGGTGGTACTTGTTGTGTGGTCTTTGATGGTACGGCACAAGGTTGGATGGGCGCGGCGTTCTTTTTCATCTACTTGTACAGAGCGAAATGTTTCACTAAAATGTTTGGGAAGATCTACGCAATAGTTGTTTGCTTTCTTCTTCATCGTCTGGTCCGATCGACGAGGCATTGTGCAGCTCTTCCATCGAACTTCATTGACCTGTGTAACACAAAACTACCGATACGGGGTTTCATCCGACGTCGTCTAGCTCGAGGGATAGTGCGCATGACATCGTGTGCTGAGAAGCCAAATGCACGTCCATCTATGGTGATGGCCGCTTGCTTGAGAACCCGCATACAGCGGGTACGGATGCTGACACCCTAGCCTCCACATTGAGATCGCAATGATTACCAGTTCCAAGATTCCGCCACACCCACCCATTACCAATCCACCCCCTCATTCCGACGCATCTCGAGTCAGATTGAACCCTCAGCTCCCTCCAACACGACTCGCAGATTCTGGGGTACCATGAGAAATGCACCTCGCTACTAGTGTAGTGTGCTGTCATTGGAAGAGTTCTATGGACAAGACCACATCAAGCCTCTACGTACGTAGCTGAATGCGCGTCAGACCCAAAAGTCCCTGTGACTCCTGCTCCGGAATGACTGCACCGCATCTCCACGGTAGATCTCTGGGATTGGCTACAGCGATTGCATGCATGTTCGGCTCATCACCAGTCGACAAGCATGTTGAGAAATAACTTCCAACTAACCTTCTCCTCACAAGCAGATCCTCCGCGCCCGGAAAGCTCAGGGTCATCCTGCTCCCTGTTCGTTGCACCAGGTGTTCGGATCGATACGGGCATGCTCAGCCAGGACCAAACTTGGCTAGTAGCATATCATTTCAGGGCAAGCATGGCACTCCTTATCGCGGACGCCGTCTGGAGCGAGTCGAGGAGAGCTGCCCGGTAGAATGGAATTGCGGGGCCCCACCTCCAAGGCGCGGACGCATGTTGCTCCCCCAGCATTTGGCGGCAAAGGTTTCGGTCTAGTCTTAGCCCAGTCGCTCAATACAGGCCGAAGTTTGGATTTAGTGTGGAGTGCTGCCATGGTGGTGGGTCTTGCAGTCTTTCCCCAAGACATTCGTCGCACTGTACGTGGCATTCCTTCTTCCTCCTCTTACACACTGATCTGCAGCGTCCAACGCACGCCAAAGACCAAAATTGACCCTAAAGAAAGTAATGGCTGGCGAGAATAAGACATCGAGTACGCCCAAAGTGACTAAGCAACAATCGGAATCACAAGAACCCAAGTCGAGGAAAGACAGCAAGGCCGATCAGAACGTGCCTGAGAAGACTTCTTCGAAAGAGAAGTCTTCAAAACCTCGCCACAGAGCATCTATCGCCTGTGCCTCGTGCCGAGACCGCAGGATTCGTGTATGGGTTACTGCCTTCACATATGAACCCTTCTGACAAGTTGTAGTGTGTGGTACCTTCGGGAGAGAAAGAGTGCACACAGTGTAAACGATCAGGTGTAGAGTGCGTGATCAAGAATGACGATGAGCGAAGAAGGTGCGTCGACATTATCAAATGTTCGCAAAGGAGCTGACAGACATATAGGCCCATCTCGAGAGCATACATGTGCTCTCTCACCGACCGCGTCGCTCTTCTTGAAACCATGCTGAAGGAGCGAGGCGAGGAAATACCTCCAGCAAATCATCCACCCAAAACACGCCATAGTGCTCCAAATATCGAGGAAGAAGCCACCTCACCAAGTCGAAAGGTTACCGAGCACACAACTGCACACATCGACAACTCTAGCCCTGTTAGCCAGGAAAGCCCTCAGGAAGACTATCCAGAATTCGAGCAACAGGACTTCGGCCTCAGCCCCTATATCTCAAATGGCGACGCAGACAGCGTAGGCTCGCCGCCTATGCTACCTCCACCAAAAAAGGACGGCATGGTCAACCGGCTCTTGTCCACACGCGGTCATCTCTCCTTTGACCAGCTCAACGGGCGTCTTCGCTACTTTGGCCCAACAACAAACTGCCACGTGCACTCCGAGTCCATCAACCCCTTGAACATCACCCAGGAATTCAATGAGCAAGCCCGACGAGCAGATAGAATTATCCGCTCCCTCCCACTTGAAACATACGACTATCTCATGAACCTGTTTTGGCAATTCTACAACCCAGTCCTTCATGTACTTCACCAAGACGCTTTCAATGAAGACCGCGAGATGGGCCGCACCCAGTTCTATTCTGGATTCTTGCACGTCTGTGTTTTGGCTATGGGGTTTCGCTTTGCTAACAAGAAGAGGCCGGATATCAAGAGAATTAGTATGCCTGGCATGGAGAGTACGTTGCATCGTGAGGCCAAGTATATGCTCGATCAAGAGCTTGAGAGGCCCGGCGGAATACCTAGTGTGATTGCACTGCTGCTACTGGGAGATTTGGAGTGCGGTGTTGGCAGGGATAACAGTGGATGGATGTATGCTGGCATGGCTGTGAGACTTGCGTTTGACATTGGGTATGTCTTGTAAACGCTGTGACGGACCCAGTGATCTAACTGACATTGATTTAGTCTCCACCTCGACACACGTTCTCTAGGCCTCCCTCCGCGGGAGATTGAGATCCGACAGATGACGCTCTGGGCCTGCGTGATCTACGACAAATACTGGGCACTCTTCCTCGGTCGCCCGACATCTATGAAGTCTGCGGATCTAGAAATATATCATCTCACCAAGAAATTTGAGCGTCTCGGCACTTGCCGCCCCGCTGGTCCTGAGAAGAGCATGGAAACTATGATATACGAGGCCCTTCTCGATCTTATGGAGCTCGCTGGTAAAATAACGGAAAACATGGATCCCCATCGTTCTCAAATGACCATGTCGGATCCACAAACGGCGATAGATCGGAACCAATACATACGTATGGCGGCTCTAGATCGCGAGTTTAGCAGCTGGTATGCTAGACTACCTGAGCAGCTTCGATGGACGCCGAACAACATCGCAACAGCACCCGTTAGCTTTTTCTTACTGCACCAGCAATATCACTCCAGTCTGATCTTACTGCATCGCCCTTTTGCACTCTACGAGGACCAAGCAGGTAACGAAAACGAACCGGACGACCATTTCTCGACGCTGAGTAGGACGGTATGCACGAAACATGCAATCAGAGTAGCGAGGATATATTGGCAACATCGCCAGCGATTCGACACGAAGCAAATCTTCATCACTGGAATGCAACACGCCGTACGTATCCCTATAACTCATTTCTAAAAAATACAAACATTAACCAAAAAAACTCCAGGGCACCGCAGCAACCGCTCTCGTCGCCGCCCTAGCATTCATCAAAGACCCCATCTCCCGCGCAAACAACATGCAATACCTCGAATGCCTTGCCGCCGCCCTCTCCGACATGGCCCATACCTACCAACCCGCCGAACGCATGTCCACCGTACTCCGCGCCGTAATGGTCGAATTGCGTGGCGGTCCGGACCCCCTCTCTGCAACATCCTTCTCCATCTACAAACCGCCCTCCAGCCTCATCCCCGCGCGTCGAAGCAGCACCATCGACACCGACACCGATCTACCCTCAGGCAGTACACAGCCGTGGCACAAAAAACGGCAGATGAGTTCAAGCAGCACATCGCGTCCCCGCGCCAACACATGCGGAACAAGACACAAACGCACAATGAGTTCTAGCACAACAGCAACGACTCCACCCCTTCACTCCTCTCTATCCCTTCAAGTTGCCGCACCACCCCTTCTTCCCCCCCGCTTCGACGACCACCATCCATCAGACAATTACATACTCATGCCCCCTTCATCTTCCTCTTCCGATCCTCCACACTGGTGCCCGGATCTCGGTCATACCCTCTCCACTCCTTCCACAACCACCACCACTGCATCCTCCTCGTCTCTATCGCAACCAAGGCATAACAGCTGGATGCGCTCAGAGTACGAGGCTTCAGATGCCATTTCCGCGCTCGCTAGTGCGCATTTTCCCGAGTTGAACGCGTTTGGTGACGAGTTGGGTGGTGCTGGGGGTGGTGCTGCAGGGGAAGGAAGGATGAATTTGGATTTTATGCCGCTGGGGGAGGAGTGGGAGGGGGGCGTGATGGGTGGGGTGGGGAGTGATTTGGATGGGTTTCCGATTCAGGGGAAGGCATTTTGAGGGGTGTAGGTTTGAGGGATGGGAGACAAAGGATTGGGAGTGAGGTAGATGAAGGTTGTTTTAGTGTTGAACGTAATATTTCTCCCATGCAACTTCGCTTGTTTCGATGTCCATTGTGTCGTCTTGGAGAAACTCTGGGTTTGATGGATTTGCCATGTTGAAATTATGCGTGGAGTGTGGGTGACTAGTTTCTCCTTGCTTCTCATAAGACGTATGCCTGATGTCTCCGAAAGCTCTAGATTGCAATGTACTATACTGACTAGTCAAAGTCGTAGCACCAGATCCGTAGCTTGTACGAGGGAGGTTCGTATCTGCATGAGGCACGGGTGCAGATGGAATAGTCGGTGGGTTGAAGTGCGTGTGCTCAGAATACAAAGGTGCGGGCTTTTCATTGTTCCGACTTTTGTATTGTAGAAAGGGGGGTGAGAAGGGTGTTGCGCTCGGTGATTGAAGAAGGAATGGACGAAATGGTTTGTAGTGATGCGTGTGAGGTGATGCAATCGTCTCCAGCGGCTGCGGGGGTAACCGAGTGGGATCTGCATATGGGGCTGGATCCGTGTAACGTTTTTGCTGCGTGTGATCGTTGGCGGATGGTGTGGTACGTTGGATGAACGATTTGCTGCTTTGCCCGGTGTCCTGGCTATGTGGTCTTGGTTTCGACATGTCATTCTGCTCCCATTGTTGAGTTCCGTGCTTTTTTGAGTGGTCCGTTCGTGAACCAGGTATACCCCAGTTTATAGGAGTAAAAGTCTCTTGCGATGATGTTCGTAGATCGTAGGTCTCCAACAGCTGCATGCCAGTGTCACCCATAACGCTTTCGATCCCAGCCCAGCCCTGTGATACCCCGTCTTTCTCAGCTCCGTACCCAGCAGTGTGGTTTTCTTTCCAATCGGGCTTTTGAGGATTGCTGTACGGCGATTGTGCAACGATGTTATGTAGCGTCTGGAGGCTCCGGCTAATCTTTTCAACTGCTATCCGCGCGAGCTTGTGCATCGTTTTTGCCTCAAGGTCTTTGAATATCGATAAAGTTTGCTCGGCCTTCAGGACGCCATCGGTAATTCTCTGGTGTTCTATCGCATCGAATACGAGGAGCATGGAGCTGTTAAAAGCTTGTTGTACTATAGACCAGTCAATCAATGCGGATGGGTTTTTCTGATGGAGAAACCAAAATGCAGCAAGAATGTCTTTTGATGAGGCCTCTACAATAGCTCGGCCTTGGATACAAGCTTTCGGTGATGGCGCAGGTGACGAACTGTTAGACCAAGAATGGTGTACGCTCGTTTGATGCGGTGTAGCATCTCTGCTGATCTGTTTATCTGCAGACGTCCCTAAATACGTTCTCTGGCGGTTGAGTAGTATGAGATAGGTATGGGCTTTGCAATGGAAAACTGCTTCTTGTGAGTAAGCTGATTGAGAATGTAAGATTTTCTCCTTGGGCAGCAATGGCAGCAAAAGCTATGCATATGAAAAGGCTCTGCTGAATGATATTGGTTTTATTCCAAATCGCGAACAGAAAACTTCATCGGCCGATAGTCGCCCAAGGAATGAGAGAGGATCAACAAAAATAAATCGGCAAGCATACCGGTCGCTACGGTCCTGAGTGGCAAGAGGCCTTGTGACGGTGTGCTTTCCGCATCAGTCCAGGCCGGATCGAATTGGAGTGTTTCAGGTATCGTATCCAATAATCTGTAAAGCGCCTTTGTGAAATCATCGATCTGAGAATCAGTCAGTCGATTGCTGCGAAGAACCTGCCTAGCAAGTACGGTAAACTGCATTATGAATTCTCCGAGCCGCAATACATTTGGGTCTGTTGTGAGCTCCTGTGGCCAGCAGCAAGTGCCAATGCTGCTGATTCCAAGTGGCCGTCCAAATGTCATGGAATACTCCTCGTCAATTCGGAGCATGTACCACCAGATCTTTTGACGCGTTGCGACCGCCGCCTCGGTTAGAGAGCAGGATGTGAGATGTTTCGGATTGCAATGCAGACCGATAGAATGAGCCAATATGATAGTGGTACCGAAGAGTATGAATGCGTCCAAGATTCTTCCGCTATTGGCCAAGTACTTTCCGATCAATATGAGTGTTTGGACGGCTACGAGAGACGGCTTATGCATAAACGAAGCTAACCGTAATGCCTGCATTGATGCGGCAACTACACCTAACGTAAGCTTAGCAAGTATGCATTTTAGACGACTTACTGTATACGTTGCCTTTCTGTGCCTCTGCGTCCATTTTGGCGACATCGCAACTGCCATTCTTTCTCCATATGAAGTGCTGCGCGCCAAGAGCAATGACTGCGAGAATCAATGCCAGCATACTTGGACAGGAGTAAGAGTGACTCTCAGCATCTAATAGAAAGCGCTCTATCTCGAGTCTTGATAATTCTGCAGGGATATGTATGCTCACAACTTGTTCAAATACGTCCATGTACTCTGAGAACTCATGTTTTGCGGGGAGACAACTAAGCAGTTGCGGAATGCATTCGTCAGAAGAGGCACTGAAGAGCGTGGCAAAGGCATACGCCGGAGTATTTTCCGAGATGAATATGTCCCTGGGATGTGGTATTATGTGTGTCAATGTCGTCGGGTTGTCAAGGTTGACCGAACTAAACTCAACAAATGTTAGCCAAGTTCTCGCGGGTTATGGCATCTACCCACATCACTGATGACAGTAGCCAATCCGGGTGCGCCAAAGAATATGCTTTCTTGCCACTCAGATTCTTGACATCGAGTTTGCTTCATAGAGCGCCGTTTCACCGCCGGGCTAAGCCCATTGTCGGTGTGTGAACCTAGAGGCAAGGTGTGATGAGATTCCTCACTGTAAATCGGTATACCGAGTGCGCGAAATCGCTCTTTGAGTTGGACATTCTCGGCTCGAAGCTTACGGAGTTCGTAACTTTGTTGAATTGGGGTGAAATTTCCGTCCTCAGTTATGAAGTGACAGTCACGGGGAAGACCACGAACACAACATGCTGAACACGGTTTCGTGCGGTCGCACTATCATATGTCAGCTAGTCAAAGAGCATGACCATTTGATCCGAATGCGGTATAAGTATCCAGCCTATTGTAGAGGGATTTGTGAGCAGGTTCAGTGAGGACCAACCTTCACCTTTCGCTCTCGACACTTTGTACAGGAAAGGGACTGGCGTTGCAATCGTGGTAGTTGTTTTTTCCGCGTGATAATGCTCTCGCCTGAAGTCTGGTGTTGTACAGCACGATTTTTCTGGAATGGTACTTCGCCCATGACGTAAGAGATACGCTCGTGTTGGGCGTTGTGGAGATGACCAGGGACGAGGAAAGAGAGGCAATACCAATGCAGTCGAAAACTGGTTCACTTGGGGCATACGGGTAACTGTAGGAGAGAGGAGTATGCGATAAATTTGTACAAGCTAGTTGCGGTCCCTCAATATATGACTGCTATCGGATATCTACCGTCCAGATATACCCCCAGAAATCCTGCCCAGACTCAACGCTGTGTTCAGTGAACGAAAATTATTAGCCTCATTTATTTATTGGCAAGTAGAAACAGTTGCAGTGTAGAGATGCTACCAATGAAGATAGTAATCTTCAATCAACACTCCAATATCTAAATCAATCGTATTGCATTGTGCATACGCCACTGCTGTATGGCGTCGTGGCGGGGTTGTACAATGATATCGCCAAGTCGATGGAAGTAACATCGGAGCACTGATGGCGGTGAAAAGCGCCCACGACGACCCGAGCCTTTGGGTCTCGCACTTGGTAATGTCCATGCACATGTACGTGGCCCGCCAACTGGATTTTTCTGCAAAGATGCCACCACAGCGCCACGATCTTGACACGAGCGCGTCACCTCCCGCACTGGGTCGATCTCCAGCATTGCATATGTGGCTTGCATAGAAGCATGTTGGTGGTTGCTAGAACCAAGGTGTGGAAGACTGTTGACCCCTTCTCGTGACTCTGCAAATTTTCGCTGCAGGTCGTCATGACACGGTCCGCACATGTGACTGCCAGAATACGTGAGGCTGATCCATTTGACACTTAGCAGCATACTGTGGGTGCACGCTCCAAAGCGCCTCCTTTGCACGGGAGACCAAAATCATTGGCAACTCAAATCGCCAGAAAACACAATGCACAAGCTAGCAAAGTGGCTTTACATCGTCCTTCTTCGCATCCAACTCCTTCGAGCCATAGTGCTTGTGTTCAAGGAACAACGCTCTCGACGCGGTGCACGAGACGAACTGGCTTCACGAAGACGACTCTAGCGAAGACATCTACCATCTCCAACTTCACCTCCCACTCGTCGCCCACCTCAACATTTTCATACTGTAACATAGTAGCCACAAAGCCATATTCAGGCAATTGGCCAACTGCATCTCTACCTTCTCGGACTTGTCGAACCTGGAATTTGAAAATCTCAGGAAGAGGCGCTTCCTTGTACTTGAAAGCGCGGAGGAATGCCTGGGAAGCCCAGTAGAGCGTTGCGTCTCGCTTGGCTGTTGAGATGATGCGCTCTCGAGGCGTCAGTGTGACAATCGATTCCTGTATCTGCCGGAGGGAGAAGGGCAGCACTTTTTTCGATGAAGCAGCACTGTCAAGCGCGTTGAACTTTTTGCCAGTCTGCGCTTCATAGCGCACAGCAGCTTCTATCTGCCAATGTGCAATCATGTCACTGAAACGACGAAGAGGGCTGGTAACCTTGACGTAGCCAGGCACTCCGATGATCTTGTGTGGTAATGAAGAAGAATGTGTGATGGCCCTACCCAAAGCGCGAACCAACTGTATACCGAGAAGTTCAGGTACGTCTCCATGCTTTTTATGGTGCTCATTTATGACGGCTCGAAGTTCTTCTGCAGACAGGTTTTCGTGAGATGGGGGTTCGACGGTGCCTCTGTACATAACAGGTATTTGCCGCTCCTCGCACCATTTTGCTGCTGACTGACCAGCCAACATCATCACCTCCTCGACTATGTTCTTGGGCCCAATATCCAAGGGCAAGAATTCTTTGGGCATGGTGTTCTTGTATTCAATGATAGGGTCTCCTTGGATATGACGTACTCGACTGATTGAAGGCGCATGCCAAGTCAACCCAGGTTTAGTGGCGCTTTCGTAGACCTGGACGCTCACGTTGTTTGAATTGAATCGGATGCCACCTGCAGCTCTACGACTCTCCCATAGCGCCTTTGCAACAGTATACAGGTCACGGAGCTCCTCTAGTTGATTGGGTGATATGCTTGGAAGCGGCCGTTCTTCACTCTGGGGTACTTCCCCACCAACAGTGAATTGTCGGCTGCTCAAAGTATTCTCATCACCCAAGAGTTTAGCAAGCTCAGAGGGGGTGATGCTGATCATGTTTCGAATGATGCCGTGCTGAATCTTTGTCTCGAGCACAGTGCCGAGCTTGTTGATACGAGAGCTGAACGTAATAGCAGGGCGATCGCGCTCAAGACTGAAATGCTCTTGAGACGCCCATGTCGGGAGCATGGGATAAAATCGCTCCGGGGTATATACGGTTTCCGTAACATGGGCAGCGAGGCCGGAAAGTGTGTGGGTTTTGTCAAAGAATGCTGTTGGATTGGCCACATGGACATGAACCCAAAATTCGTTGTCTTCCTTATCGGATCCCTCAAATCTCTCGATAGAAATGCCATCGTCGATTTCCTTAGCATCCACATCATCGACGCAGTAGACTGTCGTTGTGCCCCAGTCGCGACGAAAGTCTGCCATTGAATCACGGAAATCGGGATTCCTTCGCGTGAGCTCCGCCTTGTCATTGAGCACTTCAGTGTTGCGTGACAAGCGAACGGTGGGAAGCATTAATTGCTCGTCGTAGAGCGCGCGGTTTTCGTGGGGCGAGATTACGCCGATCTCTTGTAAGAATAGCAATCCGGTGGCACGTCTGATGTTGCTGAGACTTTCATCGACAATTCCCTCATCCCGGACTACCCCTGGTTCATAGCAATTGGTGGCAGAAATCAGGCCAATGCAAGCAGCATGAAGGCCTGCCATGCCCGCAAATTGATCGCTGAGCGCCCATGATTGCAAAAAATTGATGATTTGCTGGTCAGCACTCGTGAAGGATTCACCCCATGTGGCCTTTATGCCAGATTTGAGCTCTTTGGGTGTAATACTCGGTCCTACGCCACCATATTCTGGCTGACGGTGTTTCCTGCTGGTTGCGATGATCCTGCGTGCTTTGTCGATGAAGTCCTTAACATGAGTCGCGCCCTTGGTAGGCGGCTGCTTGCTATCATGTGATGTGCTTACATTCAAAGCCAGATACTCTCGGTATTCTCGAATCCATTCATGCACGGTTTCAACATTTTGGACGTCTGATTTTGGTCGAATAGCAAAGACATTGGTCAGCCTGTGGCTGCGAGAGTCGGATCGAAAACGGAATTCGTTATGATTGAGTGCTTTGCGTACAGCTAATAGTGCAGCCGGTGACGGTGTCCACTTTGGATCATTGGGTGAGAGTAGTTTCCTGGCAATTTGCGTCAATGTCATCATGCGAGTCTTCTTTTCGTCGGCCAAGACTGTATACGCTGTGTCGAGTGTTGATGCATTTGTGCGGTAGATGTGCTCTGCTTCTTGGGTCATATGTTCCAGAGCGGCTATGACGGGAGAGGCGAGGTCTCTAGGAACATGGATTTCGCCTTTAGGGTTGGCTTTTGTCGGATCTGTAGGCAGGAACGGGATAAGCGGCTGAACGAGCGAAGGGTCGATGCAGCCTTGTATAGCGAAAGTGACCTTTTTGAGAGTTGAATGTGTCCATCGGCCGTTGACTGAGAAGAGCTGGCTACTAGTGTCTAGTTGTTGGACAAAGACAGCAAGTACGGGCTCACGGCCAGCCTGGGAAAGTTCAACCACATCACCAGGTTTCAAGAACAGGCCGATAGTTATGAGATCGTCCTCTTCGTCTTCCTCTACACCGTTCCATTCGCTTTTCGTTGTATCCTCATCGGCCTTTGAAGAAGGAGCTAGTTTGGAAAGGCCATTCGAGACTTCATCGCGCATAGGGTAGTTTCGAAATGCGGAAAGTGTTTCTGGTGTCGGTCCTCCATAGAGGTCTTGCCACTTTATGAGATGGTCTCGGATGGCAGTATTTTCGGGACGAGGTAGAAGAGAAGGGTCAGAATTTTGGGGAGAAGTTTCGGATGTGGAAGGTAGTTGTGAACGCTGTTTCTGGTCAGAATATGACATATATTTTTTTAATATGAAGGTGGAGGCATGGCTACATACAGTGGCAGTGGCATGCAACGCCCGCCGAGGCGTTTGCGCAAGTTTTATAGCAGAGATTCCACGACAGGTTTTTGGTTGAGTAAAGTGCCCGGATTTGCTGATGAGACGCCATTGGCACCGTAAGCAAACGCTGCCAACCGTCGACTGCATACGAGGATACATGGCGAGTCGAGTGTGAATCATGTCGTCAGTCGCCGCTGCCAAAAAATGCGGCGGAGGCGCGCTCTTCATCAAGGGCCAGTGCGCCGACGCTAAAGCGCCGCGCGAACTCACATGTTTGTCCCGCACTCGCTGTCTTCTCTTCTTCACCTCCAACACACAATAGGTATGTATCCCCTCGCTCTTTCTTCCAACACACCCTTTCTATGATGTATCAAAAATTATAGCATGTATTATCCGACTGTTGCTTCGGCGGCGGACTGCGGAACACTTTTATCCCTGATAGAAAACTGTCGCCTTTGATGTGTGTTTGATGAGCTATTGCAACCGGGTCCTAACACATTGAACAGGCATCATGGCACCTGGCAAAGCGCCTGCGGGCCACTTCTCGATCCTCTACTTTGCCGCTGCCTCGACGTTTACGGGCAAGACGAGCGAACACCTGCCTGCGCCGGTCAAGGCGGGCGGTCTGTTTGCTCTGCTCGAGGACAGGTATCCCGGCATCAAGGACAAGGTGCTGAGCAGCTGTGCGTTGACAGTCAACCTGGAGTATGTAGACGTCAACGAGGAGGATGCAGAGCAGCAGATTGGCGAGGGCGATGAAGTGGCCATTATCCCACCAGTTAGCTCCGGATGAAGGAATGCAAATGCAAGAAGGGAGCTTTTGATGCATGATGAGTGTACGAATTGTTGCGTGTTTGCAGCCTAGTAGCTAGTAGCTAGTAGCTGAATGATGATGACTACCGTGTTATCACTACATGTGTCTTCTTCTTCTTCTTTTTCTTACTCATCTCATCTCAACACTCTCGTGCTGTCCCGCATCACATTACGTAGCGTCTCTCACTGAATTTTGGTTCGTCTAGCCCGTTGTAGACTAGCGCGTCCGGCGTGGCACTCCAACTCCAGCCTTTTCCGCGGCGCAGTCGACCGCGGAAGTTCGGGTACTATACGACCACCGACGCCGACCTTCATCCACACGTCGACGGCACTGCAGTCTCATGGCAGACCAGAGCCAGATAGATCCCAGGCTGTTTGCCAGCGCCTCATCGGTGCCCCCGCGCTCTCAGCAGCTCTACTCGTCTGCGCCCCAGCAGAACTCCGGACATCCGTATTACCTGCCCTCGCCCACCGCTCAACACCATTCCCAGCCCCAGCAGCTGTCGCAATCCGCCCCACTCGGCAGCATACTTGATCCCGCCCTCGAGCAGACGTCACCAACCGCACCAGATGCAGACCACCATGACGACGACCACGAAGACGAAGGCGACCACGATGGGTACGTTGCCGAAGCCATTGCCCACCTGCCGCGACAATGCAGCGCAACGCCACTCCAGCGGCATCAGCACTTGCGCAGGCATGGCTCTCTGCAGGTCCAACGACGCGATCAAAACTGTCCGCAGACTGCCAGAGTCTGCTTTGCGCTTGCCGTGAAGACGCGCACGTCGTCGAGCGCTGCAGAGCGACAAATACCAACACAACATCTCACGCATTGACCCCACGCTGACCTCTTCAACAGTATCAACGATACCCCGGGGTCTGCAAAATCCCCCGCCGACCTGAAGCGCCCCAGGGCTTGCGATTCGTGTCGAGGACTCAAAGTGCGATGCGACCAAGAACGACCAGACCTACCATGCAGACGATGCGCCAAAGCAGGCCGGCCATGCATCACTACGCCGCCAACACGCAAGCGCCAGAAAAAGGCAGACAGTCGCGTAGCCGAACTCGAACGCAAGATTGACGCGTTGACAGCGACTCTGCACGCGCAAAAGGCTGGAGCGCCTGACGTCAGGCACCAGGGAGGCTTCCCGCAGCACGGCATAGCAGCCATGCCCGCCGAGGGTTCTTATCGCATGGGAAATCTCGAGCAAGATTGGTCTAATCAGCCAGCGGGTAGATATCCAGATATTCCTCCTGGCTACAGTCCAGCCCAGAGCATTCAGCGAGGGCCCGATCGAAAGCGTAGGAGGGTGGACGGTACACACGCTGTAAGTACATCGACATGTCTTGTCAGTGCGAGCTAACATGGTAGTCAATCCCGGAGGATATGGATGCTATACATCGTGACCTTACAGAACACCCCGACTTTAGGCGCCCAGTCAAGAGCAAGATCCATGCCGACCATTGCCACATCAACCCTCTGATTGACAATCTTATGGCTCCCGAAATTGCAGAGCGCGTCTTCCTTCGCTACGTCAACGAGATCTGCCCCCATTTTCCAGCAGTGCCATTTCCTCCAGGTACTACAGCCCGCGAGGTCCGCGAGAAGAAGCCGCTTCTGTTTCTTTCCATTTTGGCCGGCTCTTCACATGGAAGTGTAGAGCAACTTGTCTCGCAAGACACCCAACGCGAGTTGACCAAGCTCCTCAAGGACCAACTTGCCGACATCATCTGGCGCAATGGAGAAAAGTCACTCGAGATCGTCCAGGCATTGCACGCAGCCGTGCTTTGGTACCGCCCACCTCTCCACTTTGAACAGCACAATTTTTACATGATGGTAAATTGCGCAGCGGTCATGGCTCTCGACTTGGGCCTGGGAAGAAAGGCAACGCCCAATGTTATGAAACTTTCGGTTGGCCCGTTCCAGAGGTACCATCCTGACTCTGGGAGCATTGAGGCCAGAAGAACATTTCTGGTGTGCTACTATCTCTGCATGAGCATCACCATGGTTTTGCGACGACCGATCCTCCTCCGTTGGACCAATTACATGGCCGAGAGCGTCCGCATCCTCGAAACTTCTCCTGAAGCCCTTCCGTCAGACAAGCTGCTCTGTCAACAGGTTAAGCTGGCGCATATTGGAGAGAAGATTTCGGTCGAGTTCCGCATGGACGACGCTTCAGTTGAAGTTGCCATTTCGGATCCCAAAGTCATCTACGCTTTGAAGATATTCGAAAACGAGCTTAATGGGCTGAAGGAGGAGAATGAAAATCTTGGTGACGTTGATCGTAAGTTACAGGTGATTTATCGCTTCATGGTTGCTAATTGTTTTTAGCCACTCTACGGCTTGGGGAGCACGTCACAGATCTCTATCTACACGAAATTGCTCTGCATCAGAACCAAGGCTCGGCGGACTTGCAACCTCCCTACACCTCGGATGCCATTTCTTCGCCGCCAGCCTCCGGAGTTAAGAAGGATGCACCTGTTGGTCCAGCCCATATCGGCGCTCTCGGAGACTGCCTTAAAGCCACGCATGGCATCCTTGATACAATATTGGGTATCGAGCTTGATACTCTTCTGACGTTGCCAGTGATCTTTTGTAAGTTGGCATGGCTTTTCCCAAGGCATGTTACTAACAGTATTAGGTGTGCGAGCCATTTACGCCATCGTCTGTTTAATGAAGATGTGGGTGTCAGTCACAAGTTGCGGTGAAGTGGGAAGCATCATCAAGAAAGAGGACCTGCAAATTGAAGCCTACACCGAACAATTGGTTTCCATGTTCAACGCCATCGTCTCCCGCGATAGTCAGTCTCCGCATGGCAAATTCTACTTTGTCGCCAAACGCCTTCAGGAACGATTTGCACATATCAAGGCAGGGGCCGACAAGGAACAACTACCTGATGCCGAGTACGAATCTAGGCAAAACTCGAGCCATGCACCTAAACAGTCTACCCGCCAATCGCCTGCGAAACAAACGCCGCTTCACCTATTGTCCGAAGTTGCAATGGGCAGTAACAGTGTCACGCAGCAGCAGCAGCAACAGACGCAAGCGCAGTCTCGATCCCAGCAACAGGCTCAAGCAGCTTTGCAAGCTCATGCACAGCACTCGCAGCAAGCCATGCAGTCGAACTGGTATCCCAACATGGCTGCACAGCCTACAGCAGATATGATAGGTCTTGGTGGACAGCCTCCTTTCGATATGAACTTTGACTTCACGCAGTTCGACTTGGGCACTGGTTCAGACGCGGACTTGTCTGCCTTGTTCATTCCGGATTCAATGGCAATGTGGAGTTATCCAATTGATCCGAATATGCAGGGATACACTGGATTCTAGGTAGGTGGGCGAAAAGTGATGGCTGATGGTCGGGTATGTTTATGTATTATGTGAGTGTATAAACAATATGGCGTAATAATTGGAGTTTTGGCGCTCGAGAAACAAAGCTTGACGTGTATGGTAGATGAAAAATTGGGGAAGCAGTATATGCAGACACCGACGGCTTTTTAGACCAAACCTCGAACGGAGTGAGGAGAACAAAAACTGGCATTTTTAGAAAATTGAGAATTATTTTACACGCCGACAACATCTTTCTCAAACACCTTGCAGTCCCTGTCCCAGTTACCTCTCTCCTTACTCAAGCTTATACTCTATCCTCCTCAAAAACCCCTCCAACCCCGTCACTTCGCCCTTTACCTGCTCCCTCGCCCACCTTACTTCGTCCTCCCCTCCCTTCCCAAAATACCCATACTCTCTAAACAACACATACATCTCATACAACTGCTCCCAAAATCCCTCCGGAAACCATCCTTTTTGTAACCTCATCCTCCACCCGTACATGCCTCACTTCCTTCCCCGTCACCTTCCCCACGATCTGCACAATCTCTTCTGGAGTATAAAACCCCTCGGCCGCCATCAACGTCCTCCCGGCATACCTATCTGAATCCTCAAAGATGGCCCCAAACCCATTTGCCAAATCTCCGTAACATCAACATACGGCCACTTTGGCATCCGCAGGAAGTATACTCGGCATAACGTACACCCCCTCTCCCTCTCCCTCTCCCTTCCCTTCCCTTCCTCCTACTCCTCCTTCCCTTCAACCCCCCACATCAGCACGCCGCGGCCGCCACATGCCCCCCCCCCTCCAAATTCTACACAAAACTCGCCCGGCGCCACCAAACGCACTCTTGATGCCCAACCGGCCGAACATACAACTCGCACTTCGGCCTTTGACATCAAAGTGATGCACGTTCCGCAACGCTCCCTCCCCTAGAGAAGGAAAAGCAGGGTGCGACAGCGAACTGAAGACGATGAACTGCAACTCCAGCGGCGACGGCGGCGGCGGCGCTGCACACGCAGCGCACGTGCTGCGTCTCGGTGGGCCCGCGTGAGGCGGTGGTTGCGTGTCGTGGGCGTCGTGAAGAAGAGGTGCGTGATGCTGGATAGCGCGGTGGTGAGGGTCGAGGGGGCGGACATGTCGGCGTGCTGGATCTTGATGCCTTGGGCTGAGAGGGCCTGCAGGTGAGGGTCGGTGGTGTTGCGGGCGAGGGCGCGAAGGGAGTATTTGGCGGAGAGGGAGGGGGAGGAGAGGATGTGCGTGGCGAGGGAGAGAGGCCTTGGGTGCTTGTTGCGGGGAGGATGGCGAGGGTGTGCTTGGACTTTTTTTTTCTCTTCTTCTTCTTCTTCTTCTCGTCGTTATCAAGCAGTTAGATAGAACTATAGAGAGAGGAGAAAAGGATAGTGATGCTGCTGGGGATCGGGGGGGGNGGCAGGTTGTCTTGCTAATGTTGTTGTTATTCGTAGCGGGTGAGAAAGGACGAGGTATGTACGAAGCCCATCTTGAAACAAAATCAGTGATTCTTTGGGGTCAGTTTTTTTTTAAAAAAAAAAAGAAACAGACGGGAATGAAAGTGGATTGATACAAAAGATGAATAAGTCACGTGGTAATTTCTTCACTCTTTGAAAAGAGATTGGGTATTTTCCCTCATCTATCTTTTGTATAATACAAGCGATGAATGGACAACTTTCTTCCATGTCATCTGTACCGTCCACTCGTATACTTCCTCCTCTACTCAGAACCCTGAAGAGGCACACTCGCTCGAGTCAGAATCTCGTATGACTGTTCCTCAAGACTACTTTGGAGTGCCGCACCCCTCGATATCCGCTTTGAATACGAAGGGAACACGAGGTCAAACACTCTTATCCCCCACAACCCTCCCCTCACACTTCCACATATTACCCATATAAATCAAATCCACCAGATCAACCCCACCATGCTCAGCCCTCAAACTCCCTCCCACCCCCAACATCCCCCTCATTCTCCACCCCATACGCATCCTCAAAACTCGCCAACCTAACCCCCCACATATCCCCTTCCCTCCCTCTCCCCCCACCCTCTCCATCCTCATCCTCATCCTCCTCTTCCTCACCCTCCCAATTCCCATCCCCCACCCACCGAAACGCCAGCACAGCCCCATCCTTTAGTCCCGCCCCCTTCGGACACATCTTCGCACTCGCCACTCCCTTCCCCCCAGCTCCTGTCGCTTTCGCTTTCCCCTTCCCTTTCCCCTCCACCTCCTCCCCCACCCCTTCATCAAAAGAACTACTATATTCCCACTCCCCCAGCTTGAACCCCTCGTGCGCGTCGTTGATGTTGAGCGGGCGCCCAAGCTGGATGTCTGAGGGAGAAGGTGGGAGGGGGATTGCGGCGCCGGTGTCTGGGTGGCGGAGTTCGGTTTGCTCGAGGGCGGAGTATAGGGCGGATTTTATGGTGGAGAAGGTGTGCAAGGGGTCGATGTGTAGGAGAACGGTTGTTTTGTGGGATTTTAGGCGGAGGGTCCAGGTTTGGGGGGTTGGTGTGGTCATTTTTTTTTGTGAGGTTCGGACGTGGACGAATTGATGCAAGCAAGATTTGGCGGCGAGATATTGAGCGTGTGTAAGAGATTGGGGTGTCTGGTTTGTGGGGTTTGGCACGAAGGGCGGGGGGGGGGTGGTCAAAGGTGAGATTGTAGGGTTGTTGGAGGGGGGCGACGCGGGGAGACGCGTAACACGATGTCATGCGGCAACTGTCTTGGCAATTTTTCGAATTCCGCGGACTTTTGCGCAGAGAGTTGACCTTCATTCATCCACGTACTTGCATTGAGCGGCTGATTCTGGGTTCAATCAAGTCACCCATCGCTACACCGGATCGCAAAGAGAAACACAGTCGAACCGCATAAAAATATCCGTTTCGCGACCCGCACACAATCGCACCGTCCACCACCTCCGCACCACCTCCGCATCTCCACCGCAAACCTCACCCACAACTAGAGTCGCAAAACCCAACACCCACCTCCCACGCCCACGGCGGCACCAAAAAAATCCACATACACACACACAACACAATGGCCTCCCCACCACCCACAGAACCTTCCCCAACCCCACAACCACCCCCTCACAAATCCCTCCACCCCACCTCCCCCCGCCTCGACATGCCCTTCGACCGCCGCCTCCTCCTCACCACAACCCTCTCCTTCATCTCGGGCTTCACCCTCGGCTCCCTCTCCGCGGGCCACCTCGCCTCACTGCGCTTCCGCGCCGAAAACGCGCACCGCCTGCCCATGTCCAACCCAGGCTGGTACCTGTACCACAAATCCAAAAACTACTACAAGTGGCGGTACGGCATCGTCGAAGGGCTCAGAAAAGGCACGTACGTTGCCGCGTGGAGCATGGTCTTTTTTGTTGTCGAGGAGAGTCTGGATGTCTTTCGCGGCACGTGGAGGGCGGGCCGCACCGTCTCGGAGATGGAGGGCGTGGATGAGCTGGATTTGAAGAGGATTGACAAAGGGGTTAGTGGGAGTAGGGATTTTGTTAGTAGTGCGCTTGCGGGTATGGTGACGGGGGGCGTGTGGAGCGCCTGGCACCAGTTTCCGGTTTCGACGGCTGCGAGGACGATTAGGTTGGGGTTGCTGGTTGGGTTGGGGTTTGGGCTGGGCCAGGATGGCTTGGTGTGGGCAAAGGCGAGGTGGGGTGGGGGTAGGGAGAGTGAGAGTTGGATTTATAGGGGTGCGAGAAATAGGATGGTTGAGGAGGAGGTTAGGGTGAGTTTGGAGAAGGATTGAGAGGGCTTGGAGGACTGAATGTCGCATATATTGGGGTCGGTGCCGCGTAAGAGGAGCTCGCGGTGCCTACGAAAGAAAGCAACGGACACGGCGCAGGGCAAGCCGGGGACAGCTGCAGAGCCGCAAGTCTGAAATGACTACCGCCTAACAAAAATATTCCCAGTATCAAGGCGGTACTGATTTTACAAGACAACCAAACGAAATCAAAGTGTACAGGATAGTCTAGTTCTTCATTTTAGAGCGCTCGGCGCCTCTTTTGGATATCATTCCATCATAGACTGAAATCACAGCTCCGTAGCGTAGGCTATGTCCGTGTCCTATCGTAACAAATCAAGCAAAAGGTCCATCTTTTCCACGCCCTATTCTTTATCAAAGCGCACAGCTGGCTGTTCCCGAATCCAGCTCAAATCAACCTTGTGACCCAACAACTCTCTGATATTACTGACGCCATACTTCATCATGGTCGGCCTCTCGAGAGAAAGTCCGAATCCGTACACGCGCATATCCTTGGGCAGGCCCATGGGCTCCAGCATCTCCGGCCTGAACATGCCTGAGTTGCCAATCTCGAGCCACTTCTTCAGACCAGCGTGGTAACCAAAGACCTCCATGGAAGGTTCGGTGTAGGGGTTGTAGGCGGGCTTGAAGCGCAGGTTGGTGATGCCCATGTTGCCGAAGAAGTCCTCGAGAAAACGCTGGAGACCGCCAAGGGTCAGACCAAAGTCGGCAATGACACCTTCAATCTGGTGGAACTCGGCCAAGTGGGTAGCATCGACGGTTTCGTTACGGAAGACACGATCGATGGAGAAGTAGCGCGCAGGACGGGGATCTTCTGCAAGGCGGTGGAGGGCCCAAGTCGAGACTGCGGTGGTATGTGTGCGGAGGACCAGGCGGAGGGATTCGTCTTCTTCCCATGGGTATCGGTCTAGAATTATCAGTACGTATGCTTCGGAGTGATGAAACAAGACATTTACAACTTACATCCTATTGAGCCAAAAGCACCTTCTTGATGTACCTTCTTGACGTCTTGCCAGTACTGCTCAAAGTCTCGTGGCTTCTTTTCTCGCTTCTCGCTCTCTGGTGTGGAGAAGAGACGTTTTGATCCGGCCTCCATGCGTTCCATGGTTGCTTCATTTGCAGGGTCTAACCGCGGCTTGTCGGCTTTTGGTGGGTATGAGACGAAGAAGGTGTCTTGCATGTCACGCGCGGGATGTTGCTGTGGTACGAAAAGGGCGTCAAAGTTCCAGAAGCCAGTGTCGACGAAGCTATTGATGTTAGTCGGTCATGCGCTTGATTCAGACCCAAAAACTTACTGTCCTGTTGGCATCTCGACGAAACCTTGTGAGAAGAAAATGTTGCGGAACTCCTGCCTAACCTTGTTCAGAGGATGTAATGCGCCTGCATCTTGGTTTGCTCCGAGTGCGGCAAAGTTGTATGGTTTGAAGTTTGCAGTCTTCCATGCATCGTTTGTGAGCAGCTCGGCCGTCAGGTCGGTGTGCTCTACAGGAATTTCCTTTGCATACTTTGGGCCCTTTGTGATAGTGTATGTAATGACCTTTGTAACAGTCACGAGCTTCTTCTTCTTCAGCTGGGCAAGGAGTTTCGCATCGTCGAGCGACTGTGTGTCTTTGATGCCCTGTAGTAATTGGCGGGTGGTGTCTGCGGGCTCATCGGTCTGAATGAGGACTAGGTTGTCTCCGTCTTTCTTGATCCACTTGTTCTTGAAGCCATTGCCTTGTCCAACGCTAGCGACTTCTTTTCCAAAGATAGTCTGTGTCTCTTGTCAGTCGCATGTCGCTAGTTCATAGTGCATCCTGCACGCACCGGTAGTTCAGCAATTGGGACGCTGCCCCTCTCTTTGACCAACTTCCAAACCTTGAACTCATGGCTTCCCTCTGCGACTATGCCCTCGGATTCGGGAGTGAGGACGACCTTTTCCGAGTCTAGCGATTTGTATTCGACCATGGATCTGCTGGCTAGCCTGTCGAGTGCGGCCTTGATTTCGGCCTGGGAGATTGCGGGGAAGTCTTCATCTGTGCGGAGGGGCTCTTTTGTGTCGAGAAGGTCGAGGATGTCCTGGGTGAGGTTTTGGCCTTTTGTTTCGAGCGGCACTGGGACTGGGCCCCGTGTTCCTGGCATGTTTGCGAGTGTGCAGCGGTTTGGTATTGTGGTCGAGTCGAATCGTATAACGTGGGGTTGCTTGCGATGAGTCGAAAGTGGAAACAAGTCGGAGATTTGAAGGCCCGTTCGGAGGTGGGGCGACTCTGATTGGCTCACTGGCGGCGCGCAGTACTGTAGTACTCTGACTTGATATGGAGGGAGTCACTCGTGTAAGCATCAGACTTGGACTACAATGCACGTGATTTATAGTGGCTATCTGGTCTCTTCTTGGACCAATAATACTGTTGGTAGCTAGCTCCCCAGCGACTGCCAAGTTGGGCTGCGTGACGTTCCCGAATTTGCAGTGCTAGAGAGGCAGCTTTGGCAGGGTGGCTGGTGGAGAGCAAGAACTAGAGGACTGGCTGCAGGCACGAAACTTGACCATGCTGAAAAGATGCAAAGACACTAAATTGGAGCTTTGTTTTTTCAATGACAACATGGACGTGTCGGTAGTCGTAAGTGTACCCCGCCTTGTGTGAAGACGGGATAATATGGTTGTCAATAGCGTTGCAGTAAGTAGACGGACTGCAGGAGATGGTGGTGGGTGGTGGTGGTGGTGGTACCATGCAGCCGGCTAGCTGTGACGCCTCGCGTGTTTGAGGTTTTGAGTGTAGAGAGCAACAAGGCCAATTGGACTTGAGATCCCCACCAGTTCCTATGGAAACTGGGGCCCAGTCGAACATGCACGCGCAAGAGGCCGCGCAACTCTGCGGCACATGGACATGCATATCAAACAGCTGGGCATAGTCTACCTAGAGCAAAGGCCATGTTATTGCTGTTGTTGTTGTTGCAAGCATCTGAGGGAGCTGTCATCTGTCTTTTGGCAACACATGTTTATCGAGGGAGAAAACGTGTATCTACTAAGTAGCGATTCGTGTCTACTATGACTAGTGTTTTATTGGGTGCGAGGGTACCATGGATGGCCAAGGATCGGGGCATGGAGGGCTGGAAAGTAGAATTATTGACATGGCATGCGGCTCAGCTCAAAACAGCAGGCCGAAGCCGGTTTATTGCGAAACTCGGTATAGTGTATTGAGGCCAGGGTGACATTGTAGGCAAATGTGATTGCGACGGCGTCGGGGCATTGAAGAGGCAAATGGCCGCGGGCTGCTGGCTTGGCTTCAGGCGGCCGGCTCATGCGGTGTTTTGCTAACGCTAAGTAAGGGCATATCGGGGCGTGGGTGGGGATGGTAAGCTTGGTGGGAAACAAGGCTGGCTGGCGCTCCTTCGTTGTTGGAAACGGCGGGCAGAGGCTTGAGCGAGCATGGGCTTTTTTTCCCTCAGACGGAGCCATGGAGCCATGGAGCCCCCACCCCTGGCCATGCCTAACGTCATGTCACGTTGTGTGGACAGCATCAGACAGTCATGCAGCAGGAAAAGAAGTATTGGAAGGGCGGGGGTACGTCGGAAGGGGGCCGAAGCTGGGTCAAGGTGAAGAAGGTATGCCTGAGGTGGGCAGACAACAGATGCGATGCGATGCGACGGCAGCTACTCTACACCAGCCTCCCTGCCGCTGCGAGGGCAATAGTTGTTGGATGCAGAAGCAGCAATTCCACGCCAAAGGGACAGCTTATTTTCAGTCGGCTTGGCTCCCTCTTGGCCTATTTCTCTCCCAGCAGACACCATGCGAGTACTTGGTTAGCCAACTGACGGACGCTGCAGCGAGGGATTATTTTTAGGCCGTGCTGTGGTGAGCGGAGCGGCGGTGCGGAAAGGCGAGGTGGCGGCAGTGAACGCGCGGCCCAGGGGGAGACGCCAAGGGCAAGGCCAGCATCTCTCTTGCACGCCCACGCCCATGCCCACACCCACACCCACTCTCGTCCACATCCATGATGCACATGCGTCGTCGTCGATGAAGCGCCGATCCTGCACTCGTCGACGGCACGACGTCACCCTGCGAGGAAAAAAAATTGCTTCCCCATGCCCTTGCTGGGCTGGGTCGGGGCGACGTTGTTGAGCCGGGAAGAGCACTGGCGGTTGCGCAACGAGCTGAGCCCATGCCTCTTCGAGATTTATGCAGCGCCCGCTACAGTGCTCTGATAGCTGGGCGCGGTGTGATTTGTGGCGGCCTGGATCCTGCCAATGGCCCAACACCACCACCAGCGTGCAAGGGGGCGTTGGTGACGAGAATCAGCAGCAGCAGCAACAGCTATGTACAACAAGACGAGCTGCTGCTACTTATTGTATATGCTATATATGTGATATGTGCGCAATCATTCGTGTCATCAGCATCCACAAGGCGGCGGCGGCGGGCTTTGCATCTGGGCGGCCTCGCGTTCCGCCGGCGCACTAGCCGATCTTTTCGCCGCTCCAGAATTCGGTGCAAGGCAGGTGCAGTGCAGGTGCTTGCCCCTTGCGAACTAGCGTACTAGCCTCCGCAAGCAGCAAGGGAAAGGGAAAAGGGTCGCTCCTGCTCTGCTCTCCTCAGCCCGCCGTCTCTCCTCCAACGCCTCCAGAGCGCTGCCACTCCTCCAGTCTCTGCCTCCCACCTACAGCCAGGACAGTCACTCGTTTCACTCTCCGCTGCCGTCTCAGCTGCATCACACATCTCCTCCCCCATTCCCTCTGCTTGCTGCTCGCCCGGCCGAGTATCTGTCCGACTCGTAGTTGCAGCATCCAGGAGCAACAACACCGACAATAACAACACCACCACTAGTGCCACTGCCACTGCCACCCGCCACAGCACACCCCCTCCTTCCGCACTGCATCGCCTCGCCTCAGATGCGATAGGCACCTTCACGCGCTCCACAGCACATTCACACATCGATCCTTCGCAATGGCGTCGCGATTCAACCCAGGCAAGCTGTTCATCCGAACGCGCTTCAACTACGAAAAGCTCCCTGGCCAGGACAGCCAGGGCTCCTCTCCCCTGCCCCTCTTCAGCACAAAGTCATGGGGCAAGAAGTATAACCAGCCCGCCTGGGCCAGCCGCATTCAGCGGCCCCGTCTGTCTTTTGCGCGTCTCATTACCCTCGCCGTCACTGTAATACTCGTCTTCTCCATGATTGGCACCGGTGTCTACAGGAGACACCGCTGGCACGCTCAGCCCCACAAGGGCGATGAGCGCAAGCAATATCACTGGGAACACTATCCTCGGTAAGCACCGTCGTCTTCCTAATCCTCGAGCTGCCTGCTGACCTTTTAGTCTCAATGGCTTCTTCAACGGCGTTCGCACTCTCGTCCCCTTTGGCGACTGGGTGTCCGAACAGGACTACGTCAAGTACTCACAAAGCCCAAATCCCGAGGATAATGTCAAGCCAAAGTGGCCACACATGTCCAAGGAAAACAAGGAGCCGCCAATGGACCCTGTACCTTTTGACCCCTACAAGTTCGACTCGCCCCAGTACCTCAAGGACCATGACGAGGTCAAGACTTGCTACCTCGACGAGGAGGAGAAGGTCGACCTTCCCGACATTTACGCCTACCCAGGTATTCCCCAGAACATGACTGCTCCCTTCTTTGGCTCCTACGAGGAAATCGGTTTCGACGACAAGAAGTGCTTTGATCGCTTCGGCCGCTTCGGTCCCTACGGCTACTCCTACTCTCGCGACGAGGGCGGTCTTGAAATGGACGGCAAGTCTGAGAAGGCTGGCGCCGACAAGATCTGGAGCTGGGAGAAGAAGGTTGACTACCGCAAGGTCAACTGGGCCTCTGCCATGAAGCGCTGCCGTGAAAAGAACGCCCACCGTTTCAAGAACAACAAGACTGACGAATCTGCACCCGCAAAGAAGAAGGTGCCTCGCCACGCCTACGTTCTCCGCACCTGGACCGGCTACAAGTACAGCGACTACCAGATCCTCACCCTGCGAGCCATGATCAACGAGCTTGCCCTCAAGTCTGGAGGCGAGTACGATGTTCACTTCCTGCTCCATGTCAAGGACGACAGCCTGCCCATTTGGTCGTCTGAGGAGATTTACCAAAAGGTCATCGAGGACAACCTCCCCAAGGAGTTCTGGGGCATGGCTACCCTGTGGTCCGAGCAGCAGATGCGCATGTACTACCCTGAGCCATTCCCAAACAACGTCTACAACCACGCCAAGGCTCCTGTTCACTCTGTCTACCGAAGTGCCCACTTCGCCATGCAGTGGTTCGCTCAGGCCCGCCCAGAGTACGACTTTTACTGGAACTGGGAAATGGATCTCCGCCTGAGTGGTCACTACTACGAGTTCCACAACAAGATTGGCGAGTGGGCCAAGAAGCAGCCTCGCAAGGGCCTGTGGGAGCGCTCGTCTCGCTACTACATTCCCGAGCTCCACGGATCGTGGAAGAACTTCACCGAGATGGTCGAAGAGGAGCTCTACAACAGCGACGAGAAGCCAGTTTGGGGTCCTCCCAAGTTCCCCAACACTGGTATGCTTCCCAGCCCTCCAGAGGTCGAGCCACCCCACTCCTATCTCCAGGACAACTACGAATGGGGTGTTGGTGAAGAAGCCGACATCATCACTTTCAACCCCATCTTCGACCCTGCCAAGACCAACTGGGTGTTCCGCGACGACGTTACCGGCTACGATCTCGAGCTTCCAGAACCCCCGCGACGCTGCGCTATCATCACCGTCTCGCGTCTGTCAAAGCGCCTCTTGGACCTTATGCACCGCGAAACATACCTGATGAAGCACCACATGTTCCCCGAAATGTGGCCACCGACCGTTGCCTTCCACCACGGACTCAAGGCTGTCTATGCCGCACACCCCGTCTACTTTGACCACAACTGGCCTCTCGAGATTCTCGAGGGAACCTTCAACCGCCCTCCGAAGCCCACTGACAGCGTCTTTGGCTGGGGTGAGCACAACCAACTGGGCAACAGCTTCTACTACAACGCTGCTTTTTCGTCCGAGTGGTGGCGCAGGTGGCTCGGCTCGCGCGAAAACGACAAGGGCGGTGCGGCCGAGGAAGAGGCTGGCACAGGTCGGTTGTGTATGCGCAACACGCTCTTCCATCCTGTCAAATACGAAAAGGGTTCTGAGTGACTTCGCTTGCTTCGCAAATATACCCCTTTAATTGCTGGCTGTTGCGGACTCGCTATTTGTCGACTGGTTGTTCGGCTCCGCAAACGCGCCTGTTTATAGATTCTTGTTTACCTTTGGGTTCTGCATCGTCTAACGTTCACCATTGTGGCGTCTTACCATCGGGCGGCGTAATCCGGCGTTTTTTTTTTTCATCTTACTTTTTTCATCTTCATTTTCTTTGTCTCTCTCTTTCCCTAGGAATATTTGATTGTGCGCACAGTTTCCTTGGTCTCTCCGGCACCGCACACGAGCTCCGGAGTGTGTTATCTTCTCAGCGGTATACCTTTTATTTGGCACGAAAAGTCGCGGGAAGTGTAATCAGCCGACGAACCCGGCGTCCGCTCATTTGGCCAGCGTTTCGGGTTGGGCTATAAAAGAAGAGCCTGTTTTGGATTGTGGAACGGGCGGGTAGGGCAGTGGGGGATTTGGGAGTTTATTTGTCCGACGTTCAGTATGTTGATATGTGTAGATGATGGGAACTTGTACCCCGGGCTCTTTTTATTCCTACGGCGAACCCCACCCTAGGCTGGTCTCTGAACTGTGGTTGTACATTTATGAAAATGCAATACAAATAATCACATAATGTCCGAAAATGAGTTTTCTGTTTAGTTCCTCATTGTCTTGTGTATGGTTGGTATGCATTGTTCCAAGTATATGTTCGTGGGTAGTGAATGGTACATATCGCGGCAGCATGTAAGATGATTGTGCCATACAGCGTACTCAGGGTTTGGATGCAAGTCATCCGAAGGTCCGAAGCGCATGTGCCTGTCCGATTGGCGCTGTCAGCTTCATAATGTGCTTATCTGGATCGCTTCATGCCGTACGTCCCCACTTGATCGTGAGATCTTTACGCCTCCTCGGGTCCTTTCGAATTCCGTCAATGTCATATCTACATGTACATTCTCGGCTAGACATCCATCTACGTCTCTGCGAGGTGTTTGCTTGTCGTCAGGGGTGAGGGCCAGCACGTGCTCGTCCTACGCAAAAGCCTCCAACACTCGGGGTCGCAAGGTGGATTACGCATTACACCCGCACCTTGATTACCCTCAACTGACACGCGGCTGTCCCCGCACGTTGCTATCAGCGTTATTATTTTTTGTACTAAACAAGCATTGACGGGTTCTCCGATGGCACCAGCTCACAAGGCTTGACCACCGCTTGACCATGAAGAGTAAAGGCAGGCCGGGAATAGACGGGGGGGGTGACGACGCCTAGGCGCATCTTCGATCTGCGCGCCGTGTGTACTTGAGGGGATATGCACGCTCAACATGTGAGCACGCGATAACCTTCCCTCGACCCTCTCTCTCTCTGTTGTTGTTTCTTTTTATCGGACGAATACCCTTGCCGTACGCCACAGGCTTAGTCGTCCATGGTGCTTTCCGCTCTCTTGTTCGCACTATAGTCGCATCCGACATTCTCAACATTCTTATCCAGCCGTCCATCCCTAGGACAATGCGCCTCATACAAACAAGTCCGCAGTCACTATGAGGCTTCCACTCGAAACTCTTCTCCTAATTGTGCACCTCGTCCATGTCACAATTGCTGTGCCCGTGCCTGTTGCCCGCCGCAGCACATCGTTTCGCGCCCTCCGTGGCTTGACGCCACTGGTCAACTCCTTCTCCAACGGCCACACGTACAAACACGCACCTACAAAGTACTTTTACGAATCCACGTTCAATTCACACTACGATGGACGCTTTGCCTCCGCCGAGCTTCCCTTCCGGGAACGAGTATGGAATCTACGGCTGATGCTCAAAGCATACACCGAGACAATGGACCAGATCGGGATCCAAACATGGATCATGCACGGGTGTCTGCTCGGGTGGTGGTGGAACGGCGGCCTCATGCCTTGGGACAAAGACCTCGACTTCCTTGTCGAAGAAGAAGGCATGCAAGAGCTCGGCGAATGGTGGAACATGACCGTCCACCACTTCCCCGCCGCCTCCCTCGGTCTCGACGACGCCCACTCCGCCGAAAGCGACCACTGGGCTAGCGAGCGCCGTGCCACCCAAGATGACGAGCCCAACCCCGAAGAAGAAGAAGACGACGCCGCCCGCTCCAAGCGCCTAGCCTGGGAACAAGAAGTGCGTGAACACGGCAAGAAATACCTATTGGAAGTAAACCCAAACTACAGCAACAAATCCACCTCAGACAAATACAACCTCATCGACGCCCGCTGGATCGACACCTCGAACGGCCTCTACATCGACATCACCACCTTACACGTCGCCCCTCTCACCTCCGCCCAAGAATCCGACCTCAACAACGACGATGACGACCCATTCTCCCTCACCCCCTCCTTCACCATCCATCCCTCCGCCCACGAACCCGACCCATACGCCGAAGAAATCCAACTCTACGTCAAAGACACACACGCCTACCTCTCCTCGCAAATCTACCCTTTACGCACCTCGTACCTCGAAAAAGTAGCAATCAAAGTACCCTATGCGTACGAAGAAGTCCTCATAGAAGAATACGGGGCAGAGGCGCTGACGGAGAGGTGGTATAATGGGTATGCGTTTGACAAGGAGAAAGGGCAGTGGGTCGAGCGCAATCCCAGTGTGGAGGAGGCGAGGTATTTTCGGGCCAAGTCGGGGAGGTCGACGGGGAGGAGTGCGGGGACGGGGCGCATTGGGCATGGGTGGAGGGGAGAAGGGAGTTTGGGGAATGCTTTGGAGGAAGGGGAGGGGCGGGGCGGGGGGTGAGCGTGGCTGAAAATGATGAGGTTGTTGTTGTTGTTGTATACATGAGGTAAACAAAAAGGTTGGATTCTTTTTAAAAAAAATGAGAGACGGAAGAAGGATTGGCACTGGATATATATATAGGGTAAGGGGGTTTCTCTCTCTCTCTCTCTCTCTCTCTCTCTCTTTTACGGTTTAGGTATTCACATATGACATAGAAAGCCAAAGCGGCAATTTGGTATTTTAATCAAGTTTTTTTTTCATTTCTTTTCTTTGCCTTCGGAGAAAATAAAAAAGGGGTGTGTCCTGCGTCCAGAAAAAGTTTTGATCGAAAACAGTTATTTAAACATCAAGATAATATGAGTTAGAATCAAAACTTGTTTTTTTTTGGTAGGGGAGAGGGGGATTCAAATGCCTTGCCGCTAGATTATCCACAACTGCATCGCTATATACACACACACACACACACAGACACAGACAAAAAAAAACGTAAACACGGCAAACAAGCGAAATGGGAGAGAACCGTCCCCCAGAGAAAAAGAACGCCATCGCCATGCTAAAATCTCCACGTAATACCCAAACTTTTTTTTTAACCAACCCAAACCATCCAGATACCAAACATCATTTTTCAGGGAAACACAAAGAGAAAACCCCCACTCACCACCCCTTCTACATCCTCCTCCCTCTATCCTCGTCCTCGTCCTCATCCTCCACCCAGCCATTCACACCACCATACCCAGTCCCCTCCCCCCGGGGCACGCCACGCGCAGCCCTAGGAATCAAACTCTCGCTGGCCTCCCTCGCCTCATGCTCGACACTCTGCCTCTTGATCGCGCTACTCTTCCTCCCCACATACGCCACGAGGGCAATCCCGACAACTAGGGCAAGGCTAAGCAACAAGACATTTACGGGGACAGGATCGTTGTTGAAAACCTTGTGAGTTGCAGCGTCGAGGGCGGATTGGGAAAAGTTGAGGAGGCCGGCGAGACAAATGATGAGGCCGTATACTTTGCCGAAAGTGGCGAAGCCGAAGACTTTTGCCGAGTAATCGCTGGTGGGTTTTTTTATGTTAGTTTTCTTTTTTTCTCTTCTTCTTCTTCCTCTTCTTCTTCTTCTTGTTATAACGCATGTGGAAGAATCCTTTTAGGGGTAAAACAGAAAGGGGGGAGCGGAACTTACGAAACAGCAGTGTAGTACAATGGGCGATATAGTACGAATAAAACTACGTTGGCATATGCAGCCCATACCTGAGGCAAAACTCCCAATACACCGATTGTCGTGGCGATGGTAACTAGCAGGCTCAGCGTGAAGACTGTACTGGTATTGTCGAGCAGCAAGCCGATAAAGGGCACGGAGAGGACGCCGCCGACGGGGAGTGCGACGTCGAAGAAGTTATTAATGGCCACGGCTTGCGGGTAGGAATGGAAGAGATATGTGTATTGCGAGCGGATGGTGGCGACAAAATAGTTTATACGCGTCATTTGGAGGACGGTGAAGAGGGTGATGAGGATGAACCAGGGGGTGCGGATTTGCTGGGAGGCAGTTAAGCCATGGAGGGCGCCCCAGACACCTGAGATGTTCTTTTTCTTTTCTTCAGCCTTAGCTTGGTCGAGGCCGTTCTTTGTGCCGAGTAAGGATGTGATTTCGCTGACGATGCTGTCGCGGTGGGCGCGGCGGGCGTCGCGGAGAGATTGCACTGTGGCGGCGTCTTCGATGTCGTCGTCCGAGTCGTGTAGGATGCTTGTTTCGTCGACGGTGGTGACGAGCTCGCCAACGGTTTTGTAGGAGACCGAGGGCATGAAGAGGAGGTGGACGGTGAGGATGAAGGCCGGGACAATGAGGTAGAGGAGGAAGAAGGATTTTATGGAAAAGGCGCAGTGGCTGCTTTGGTAGATGAGGCGGTAGACGAGAAAGACGGCGCTTGAGGTGTCGAAGGCGCCCGTGAGGAGGGCGAGGATCAGCCCGGAGTACTGCGGGAAGGTGTTGCTGAGCTGGAAGGACGAGATGAAGGTGAAGGGCCCGCCGAGCGCGAGGAAGAGGTAGCCGGGGATATAGGCATCGAAGGGGAGTTCGGCGGCGAAGGCGAAGAGCAGGGCGCCGATGGTGATGGATATCGCACCTGTTATACCGCATACTCGTGGTCCGTAGCGATCCAGAATCGTGCCAACGGGCAGCGCAACAACGTTCGTCGACACAGCCGCGATCGTGAACATGAGATTGAGCCTCAGCTCCTGCTCGTAGCACACTCGAACATCGTTATCCAGCTCTTCCTTGCTACAGTAATCTCTGTAGACTCCTTCTTCGAGCAACACGGGCTTGATGGCGGCATACCCGAACACGACGCCTGCAGCGAAGAGACAGTATATGACGGCGAAGAATACTTGTACTACACGGGGGTGTCAGCTTTGAGTATGTCTCACAGCGCGCGCGTCCCTGCATGTCGACGTACATAGTCTTTTCCATTGCGGCACTTCGAACGCGCCGATGGTGGGCTCTTCGCCGGCTTGCTCAGTCCATGTGCCGACGGGGTTGAAGCTCATCTTGCGATGCCGCGAGTCGGGGCTGGCTTCTCGACTCCATGGCTCATGCTCCTCTATCGACGTTACGCGCTGGGAGAGCGACATGGTGGTGGTGTTGATGCGATTTTATTCTCCCTCTCTTGACAAGAAGACCGTTGTAGCTTCTCTTCTTTGGTCTTTACCAGTATCTTCTGGCTACGCGTTCCCCGAATCGCAGTTTTTTTTTTCGTAGCTGGCACGGAACAAGATCCCGAGAAACTATGTAGCAGGTAGGAATGACGTTTGCATAAACCCCCGATCCCCTTGAGCCCTGAAACTTTAAAGGCAAAAAAAAAATAAAAATAAATCGGGCCAACCGCAGCAGTGGATTTCGGGGTCGAAGATCCCCTTCAATTGGATCAGATAGTAAAGATGGGAAGGGAGAAAAAAGAAAAGAAAATCTCCTGTAATACGCAAGAGTCCCTTCAAAAGGCGAAAAAGGGAAAATCAGGGTTCTAATATATGCAGGTAACACAGACACGAGTGTCAGAAAGCGGGGGATGCGGAGCAAAGCGAGCATGCAGCCGGCAGTACGCGTGCTGTCATTGTTCCTGGGCGTTTGAGTCGCGCGTGACCATGTTTCGCGGGTGCTCTTCACACGGATCGCCCATTAATGCAGTAAGTAAATAAGCCACGTGCTACCAAGCCCATCTTGTACGTAAAATGATGCGTTCACCATACATTTGATCGGTGTGTCTATTCTTCAGCTTGAAGGTTTGTATGTAGCTTCAATGTTGCTATTGATTGTGGTAATGATAGAGGTTCCGCAGAGGATGGAGAGCTCCATCACTAACCCTTGTTGGTGGAGCTGCGGATAACCAATGGCGATGCGAGTCTGCCGCGGACAAGGGGAGCTTTGGTAACTGTGCAGGACGGGATGGCGTCAAATTGTGCGCTTCTTCACCATCGCTGGACGCCGATGCGCGATGGACTTGGCCATCGGATAACTGCCGAGATAATGGTCATTGCATTTTTTCGCGACGAGTGTGCAAAGATTTTTTTCATTGACTTGTGAAGGAACGGTCTGGATGCTTTTAATGTCTTGTTTGGGAAATCGTTCTTGCCAAGATTTCATGGTTCACTCCACGTCTTGCTGGGGTGTGAGCTTTCAGCCGTCTAGGGCTCCGGATGCCAATCGAGTTGAAGAATTCGAGAGAGTGCTGTGAAACTGAATATCGTTGGTGATCTATCCAGAAGAATTGAAAGGTTGACTGACCTTGTTTGTATGTATACGATCATGATTATTTACAAGACATAACTACTTAGTGTGTTGGGAAACAATTTAATCAAGAAACAATAAATGTAAAACAACACCACACACACAGACAGCTAAAGGCCGAGAAACATCTTCATTTCTTTCATTCTCTTCGTATCTAATATCATTTCAACCATTGGATACACAATGCCAAGCTTATGCCAAAGCATCATTCAACATTCAAGTCAGCAAAGCCCGTGTTTCGAAAAAAGAAAGGGAAAGAAATACACCTTCATCTCTTCGTCTTTTCATCCATGCGCACTCGTCAGGGATATATATGCAGGTATCAACTTGTAAAAGTAAAGAGAAAAAGAAGAGCAACCTTTAAAGAAAAGGCGCCCGAAAAAGAGGGTTTTAAAAAAAAAGTACAAGGAAAAAAGAACCAAGAAAGAGGTATACCCATATTCCTAAGAGTCCCAGTCAGCACTTCCTCGCCCAAAACACCAGGTCATGTGCATTCCGTGCATGCTCCCATCCGGCCATCTCTTTCCCTAGCAACAACCCGAAGAAGAAGAAGAAGAAGAAGAAGAGAAGAAAAAAACGCCTACAAAACAGCAACGCTAGCGTACGTGACCAAAGATATACATGATTACCCTTCCTTCCTCTTATACCATGCCAAATCCACCTACTCATCGCGGTAAAACTTCTTAAAAATCAAATGCAGGAACAAATTGACATTGACCCGCGCAATACCTTCAGCACCGCCCTTGCCAGCCTCACCACCAAAGAGATTCATAAACTGGTGATTGTCGAATTGAGCTTGTAGCAGGCCATCAAGCGGCACCTCTGCAAACGCACCAGGAATCATCATGGACCCTTGCGAACCCTGGATCTCAAAGATACCCGTTTGGTTGCTGGAGATGGTAATGTCCAGACGATCCCATTGGCGCTCGTGGTAGCCTGACCAGGAAATGAGAATACCCTTTTCGGCAAGATTGCGCGCAGAGTACTTGAACGACCCAAAGCGATACTCGCGACCACTGTTCTTAAGCTCACGTTGGTGATTGTATTGGCGGGTGAAAGGGAGCAAGAACTTCTTCTTGCCCTTCTTGGATTGCAGCGTGATCATGGCTTGTTCAATGTAATCGTTGTACGATTTTAATTGAGATTCCAGGAAGTGTGCCTTCTCGTCGAGAGCGGCTAGAGTAGTGCGTACGCCTTCCAGTTCCTTAGCACGTTGAATACGCCTTCGGTGCTTGGTGCGAATGTCGACTGCAATGGCGTTGAGGAGATCCTGGTAGTTGTTGGTGTGGGAAATGCGGCCTGCGCGTTGAAGTTGCACCATGTTCTCCAGGCAGTATTGTTTGAGCGTGGTGTAGTCGAGATCGAGCACAGAGTTTGCGCTCATATCTGTCGTGTAAGTAGAAGCAGCTGAAGAGCGCACCACGTTGTTTTGTCGTCGCGAGCGGTCTTTCCGCTGAGCAATAATTTCTTCACTAACAAGAGCATCCCATCGGTCCTCGTCCTCAGGCGTAACAGGCTTGCACATGATCTCCGTAAGGTTGGCGCCAGTCTGAACGCGAATGATATAGAGGACATATCGCTTTGTTTCCATGAAGAGAGACTTGATTGCAGATTCGGGGTCTAGATTGGTCAGCAAGCATCTTCACATCAGGCCCGGGATTCTTACCTTCTTGTTCATGATATTTGGGGTTGAGAGTGAGAGTAATTTCACTAGCGCTGACATGCAACAATTCATTCTCGTTGTTCTTCGCGCTACCGAGCTCACGGACAACCTCGCGAAGTGGATCGTCTTGTGCAGGGCAGAGATTTTGAAGGTCGTCAATGACGAGATTGTGAATGGCAAACACGTCGGCAAGCTTAATGTAGAGTGTGGGTTTGGTTCTTGCGAAGAGGTCGTTGAACTCATCAATCTCGAACTGAGCTTCGGCAGGGCGGACATTGATCATGTTCGACCAAATGTCCTGCAGGCGGTCAATAGCTTCAGTAATGTAGCTGTTGAGTGGTTGGAGATAGAGATCATCACCGCCGAATAACTTGCCGACTGCGATCTGACCGAGCACTTTGTTAACTGCGCCAAGGTTCCGGTTCATCAGAGGCGACAAGCCACGGTCAACCACGCCCCAGTGCTGAGGTTGCAGCAAAGCAGGTTGGATATAGCTTTTCCAGACCCAGTGACCAGTGATCTGGAGGAGTTGCTCTTGCGGTTCGTAGGGGAACTTGAGGTGAAGTTCCTCGAACATTTGTTGCGCAATGAATCGTACACCATAAGGCATGCGATGAAGAACTTCCTCAAACATGGTGAAGTACTGGTCGGCAACATCTCGGAGGTCTTGAAGGTTGTGAATGAAGGTTCCACGAGTCTCAGGGTCTTTCAAAGCTACATCTCGCGAGACGTTCGGGTCACGATGGCTTCGCTGACCGGTACGGAGCTCTTCGTTGTTAATTGCCGAGCGGTAGATTTGCATGGGGTCGCTCTCCAGGTCCAGATGCTCATTCTCGATAATGTTCTCGCGAATGACGGAGCCCAAAACATCCTTCAGGAATTTACGGTCACGAGGCGATCGGACATAGTTGGCGAAGAGTTTGGCCCAGAAAAAGTTGCCGCGAATAAAGTCGTGCAATGAACCACAGCTCTCAATCTCCTCTTTCAACGATCGGGTCAAGAGCTTCAGTAACCAGTATTCCTCCCTACGCTTCTGGGCCAGCCCAAAGAGACTCATGGTAAGCTGTTCGATGCGCTTAGTATCACCCTCGGGAAGGTTCTGTTCACGCAGGCGCCTGAAAAGCCTGGCCATGTACTGGGGTTGGGTCTGCAAAATGAAGAACAGCTCTTGGTACTGCTCAAGCTTCCGGCGGGAGTTTTTGTTCAGGGCCTTGAGATCGAAGGGGTCTTTGGACGAGATGTCTTTGCTGCTAAGAAGAGTTCCGACATTGCCTCCATAATGCTTCTGATGCTTGACAACCTCATCCAGAGTGATCTTGTTCTTCACGAGCAGGGCAATCTTAATGTCGAGTTGATCAACATACTGCTCGGCGAGCTCGTTTTGTCGCACATGCTGGACGACCGTCTTTCGCAGACGCTCGAATTCTGATACATTGTTAGCAATACTTCATCAGAACGTACATGCCATGACTTACCAATCTCTTCGTCAAAGTCAATGTCGTTGTCGTTGAGAAGGTGCACAAAGTTCTTGACAGTTGAAACTGGTGGGTTGGTTCCGCTTGTCAAGCTCTTGTACGCCTCACCCTGCTGGCGACCACGGATAAAGCTCTGCACTTTGATGACTTTTTCCATGTTCTCCCTGTAGAATTGCTGCTTCTCTTGGAATCTTCGTCGGATCAACATGCCACGAGCTATGTTCTGCAGGTCAATGATGGCTTCTTCATGCTCTTCCGCTTGACCAAGCTGCAGGCCAATTTGCATGCGTGCCAGCATGCCACGAGCTACAGCCTGAAGATCAACAATCTCGGGTTCCTGAGCGTTGAGCTCACAAAGCGTCTCATATGTTCTTTGACGCTGCATGAAACCACGGCAGGCAGATTGTAGATCGAGAATAGTGGGTTCCTGTGCCTGGAGTTCTCCAAGGTCAGAAAAGTGTCTTTGTCGCGCAAGGAAACCGCGAATGTGAGACTGAAAAGACAGAACATTGTTTTCTTGATCTTGAAATTGTGCAAGCATGTTGGCAATTTCGGAACGCATCTTTCCTGCTCGCGCCATAGATTGCAGATCGGTGATTTGAGGCTCTTCTGCATGAAGGGCTTCTTGGATCTGCTTGACAGAATTTCTCGCAACATTGGCACGAACGCGAGACTGAAGACCAGACCACTCGACTTTGGTGCTTACCAG